AAGTTAAAGAGGTAGTAGAGGTTTATTTAGCTCTCTGTAGTGGTTTCAGATCATAATTGGCTTGCTCCAAGGCAGGGTGGTGTGGCAGAGAGGCAACTGTTCATGGAAAACAGCAACATCAATTAGAAAGATGAGGTGAGCAAGCCTTTTTCCATCCCTTATAGCATACAATGGTGGGTGTAGCATTTACACCCTTAATCCCAGCACTGGACCACACAAACTCTAGTTAGCTGCCTCTGAAAAGCCTACCCCACTATGACTACATGAGGTTCTAGGAGACATCCAAACACAAACCGTAACACTCCACCTTTGTCTCTGCAAAGACTCATTTTGCTTCCTTTATATAAAAGGTATTCAAACTGTAGAAGACAACCTGGGCACCTCTCCTTGAATGCTGAACAACTGTTGCAACATTAGTTAAACTGAGTCTCCAAGCAATGCAAATAAGGCTAGCTAAGGTACTGATGTGTAATCTTTGAAGCCAACCTGACAAGTTTCCTGCTTCCTCACACAGCGCTCTCTGTTAAGGACTGAATGCAGCAGGATGGCAGTCATTCACCTCCAGGAATGTCAACTTGATTCGAGCCTCAAAGTAAGAGGTTATGACTCCCTAGGGCACAAAAGTTTACATATCAAAAAGTGAAGCAACAGCTTCCTAAAACCATTCACATGCTACCCTGATTGAGTTATGTAGACTGGTCCTCGTGCATATCATTCTCCCTGCATATTACAAAGATACTTTTCTCCCTACCTGGCTAGCCAGTTCAAGTTACTGATGTAGTTCCCACCATCCTCAATGTCACTTATCCTTGAGCCACTTCCTCCTTCATAAGATAACAAACTCTAGGAGAGGCCTTGGATCAGGGCTATGGTCTGCACATTCTCACTTGGATCAGACTTAGGACCCCTTGGTTGCCCGTAACTTTGAATCTGTCATAGTGTCTTTACTCTCGCCATGGGTCGCACTAAAAGTGGTAGACTGGAATTCCAATAACATTTCTATGGGATTACAAATACAACTTTTCAGATTATGAGGTGGACGACTGGAAAAAGGTTTACAATATTTGGATTACAATATATAATACTTATATCACAGTATTAGAAGGAATTACTCTTGGGATTATAATACTGCGACTTCAATATTACTCCATCTCTCAGAGCTGCCAAAGATTAACAGTTTCAGTATTGCTGAAAAGTTCAAGTCCAAAGTCTCCTCTGAGATTTAAGACAAAACTCTTAGTTGTGAGCGCCTGTACAAATGAAAAGAAAGTTAAACACTTCCAACATAAAATGGCACAAGATAAATACGTCTATTCAAAAAGTTACAAACAGGAGCATACAACAGAATAAGACCAAAGCAAGTCCAAAATCCAGTAAGACAAACATTAAGTCCCAGAGTTCCATGTTCAGCATCTGAAATAATCTGGTTGTGAGCTCCAAAAAGCTTGAGTGACTCTACCCCCACCGCACTTCTGGTGATGGTAGCTTCCACTGCTGCTCTTTTGGGCTGGCTTTGCTTCTTCCTTGCAGTTTTCTTCAGGCAATCCACATTTCTGGCTTTTCCAAACTTCTGGAGTCGCCTCTGCACCTCTGGCTTCATACAACTTCATGCACTGCTCTCCCAGGGCCACATGCCTGGCCTCCTAGGCCTTCTAAAATCTGGATGGAAGCATTCCTGACCCTACAACTTTTCCATTCTACATGTACATAAAACCATCATGTGGACAATGCCAAAGTCAGTGCTGTCAGTTGGAGCAGTAGCCAGACTTTTCTCTTGGAAACAGAGTTCCAGTTCCTGGGTGGCTGAGCACTCTGAACCCAATTTTGAGGAATAAATTCTGTATGTTGCCGCTGCCATTCTGGAACATGGTGTTCTGTGGCTTTCTCTTCAAAGCAAAGTAGTTCACTTTTACAATTTAAAAGCTGCACAGTGTAGAGTTCATAGCAGTGAAAGATACCAAAAGCAACAAGACAGAAAGGGAGAACAAGCCTCTTCCAGACTCTTATGGTACATGCAAGGCTACTTGCCCTAGGGTAGGTGTAGCACTCACACCCTTAATCCCAGTATTGGACCTTGAATCAATCATGAACTCTAGATTCAGCTGTGTCCATGTAGTAATGTGCCCCTCCCAATGACTGCATGAGGCTTTGGGGGGACATTCAGGCACAAACCATAACACTAGACTACCAGATTTAGGGTGGTGCCAAACCAATCTGTAGACAGATTTAGTAATCACACACACTTAATCCCAGCATTACATACTCTAGATCCAGCAACCTCTGTAAATGCCCTACCTGTAATTGCATGAAGTTTGGGGGAACATTTAGACACAAACTTTAACAGAGGGTAAACAAGATTAGCAGTGTGCCAGGCTAATGACTACTGCACAGTATGTGAGCAATGGCAATGTGCTAATATTATGAGACTCAAGTTCCACAAACACAGGAGGAAAAGCTAATCTGGTTTGGGGGTTCATGGAAACTAAATGGATGGTTAACACCAACTGGTTGATGTACTCATTTTTTTTTTTTTTTTTTTTTGTCTTTTTGAGACAGGGTCTTGCTATGCAGTTCAGGCTGGCCTTGAGCTCACTTTGTAGCCCAGGCTGGTCTCGAACTCACAACAATCCTCCTGCCTCAGCCTCCCAAGTGCTGGGATTACAGGCGTGAGCCACTACACCCGGCTGATGTACTCATGTATTTATTCAATAAATATTGAGAATTTAATATATACCAAACTCTTGGTAGTCTTTGTAGACAAATAATATATCAGTTTTATATGTAAGTTTTCTTAGTCTGATGTAAAAGAAACAAGTAATTATAATGTAATATAATATATGCTATCATAAAGGTCACAAGGAAAGGTCTTGCTGAAGATATGAACTCTGTATGAACTTGCACGTGACACTGTGGTAAAGAATGAACATGGTGGGTAATGAGGAGCACAGGCTCTCCAGGCAGAGGAAACAGCAGGTGGAAATGCATGGAGATGTTTAAAAAAAAAGGGACTAGTAAATTAACCCAAGAAACAAGCATGGCAAAAGCTTGCGTGTGATGTGGGATGCATAATGTCTGGAATGGCAAGTGGCCTCAGATCCCTAGAGAGGTGTCTTATGCCCTCTTGAAGGTTTTGGACTTATTCTGGAAATTAAGGAAAGCCACTAAGTGGTTTTAAGGCAGGTAGTGACCTTTTTAGATTTTTGAAAGTTATCTGTATGATTATGGAGGTGATCTAGAGGGAGAAACAATTTATTTGATAGTCACCTTATGATTTTAGCATGGCAGATAGCTTTACTCATTTTTATCTAGAAAGGATTAGGGTTAGGAAATATGAAGTGAATTATCCAATGCTTTCTGGGTCATTCCAAATTTGAGGAAAAGCAACACATAGGATTACTTTTGTAAGCAGAAACTTCTATTGCAGTTCACCTTTGGCTTCACTCTTTCAATTCTGGAAAATAATCTTTAATGGCTAAATCTGGTTACACTGTGGATTCCATTTACTTTATATGAGTGCTCGGATAAATTTTGTAGTAATCTCCAACAGATGCATATCTCTTCACTGGGTTATTCTAACTAGAAAATAACATACACAAAGCTCTTGCCATATATAAAAGCTCATCAAGTATTAGTTCATCTTCACAATCTGATTTTACTACAGTAAATAGGATGGTACTAAACATAAAGGTAGTATTCAATAAATACTCATTTTATTTTAATGTTGTTTTACATATACCCAAAAGTAAAACAATTCTGCATTGAATTTTGTATAAAGTATTAGTAACTAAGTTTGTTTCCAAGCTTATTTTCATGTCTTGACTTTTGGTAAAATAAAACTTTAATTCAGCCACTCTTAAAAAAAGATATTCTTATTCCCAATGAGGAAATGGCAATATTGGCACCAACATATTAAAGAATTGCTCCAAATGACACAGGACCAGTGTAATTTAACAAGACATATGTATTGAATGTTTATATTTTAAAAATTTGTTACAGTAAAAGACACACTGCCATTAACCATCCTCAAAAGATGTGTTCACATCTGGTCCCATGCAACTTCTGGCTCTTCCTCCAAATCAAAACGGCCATGGAAGAGGAATACATTGACTTCACTGAGGGTATAGAGGCACTTGTGACAATGCAACTAATGAAAGGTGCCCAGAACTGCTTCAGAAAGTGGCAAGAATGATGAGGTACCCTTTACTATAACAAAATTTTTTAAAGTTTGAACATTCTACTTATTTTTGATCATTCCGGCACACTAATGTTCACAGCTGAGGCTAGTCTGACTTCGTAACCTTTTGTACAGTATTTTTTCCAAACTGGCAAATAGGAGTACATCTGTAAAGTTCATGAATGAGCAACTACTCTTAATTGTCTAAAAAAGTAGAAATTAAGAGTAAATTTTTAGATTGGGTATTTAATAGGCACTCGATACCTGGTGAAATGAAATCGAACGTGTGGCGTGTTCCCAGGTTCCGGCTGGCAGTCGTGCCTGTCCGCACGGCCCCTGAACCTCTCTTCCTCATATCTGTGACCTGCACGTTCGGGGCAGTCGCGGGCCTAAGGGGACAGCGTCCACGCGGGTCTCCGCACGGAGGACTTGAAAGCTGCTCCTGGAGCCACACGTGACTCACGGCTTCCAGTCTGGTGCGAATCACACTGCATGACCAAGTTATTACGCAAGAAGCGCTGGAGACTTGGTAGTTGTCCGGCCACGGTCGCCGAACACAAAACGGTTTCCACGAGAAACAGCTAAACACGGCCACTGAGAACCAAGCTCCGCGACCGCCAACGCTCTGCTAGAAAGACCAATGGCTACGCCGTGTCGCCTTTAGCTCCCGCCTCCCCACGCCACCGACATTCAATAATATTTCGCTGTGCTGCAACCAGGCCCTGGATTGGCCGCAGGTGAGGACGGCATGCACGAGCGGCGCACTGAGATTTGTCCGTCACTTGCGCCCGCCGCGCGCCTGGCGGGGCCAAGGGGGCGGGGCCGCGGGCTGCTGCGCCTGCGCGGTGGGCGTCCTCGGGGAGCAGCTGCTTTCGCTGCCGCCGCCTCTGCCTTTGCCGCCGCGTTCCGCTGTGGAGATCCGCGTCCCCGCGCCGGGTGAACAATGAAGCAGAGTTCCAACGTGCCAGCCTTCCTCAGCAAGCTGTGGACGCTGGTGGAGGAAGCCCACACCAACGAGTTCATCACCTGGAGCCAGGTAGGGCCGGCGCGGGCTCAGGCGCCGGGCTCCCCGCCTCCCGTGCTCGCCGGCCCTGGGGCCCGCTTTCTCTGCCTCCGCAGCGGTGTCGCCCCGCGGCCTGTGGCTGGCGCGCCGGTCAGGCCCGCGGCTCGGCCTGGGCCTTGCGGGTACCCGTAGAGGCGGGGGCCGCGCTCTCGCAGGGCCGGCGCCGGGGCTCAGGACCCCGCGTGTGGGCCCGGTCGGGTGGGGGTGGGGTAACGGCCCAGTCGGGCGCGTTCGGAACCTGGCTGGGCGGGCGGGGCGCGATCCTGCACACTCACGCTCGTCCTGCGGGGAGCGGGCCCGGCCGGCGGCCCCGCGTGCGGCCCAGGGGTCTGCTTCGGCCGGCGCGCGCCGCTCTTGCTCTTTGGTCTCCGCGGGACAGCCGCGCCGCTCGGACCGGATTCCAAACTGCGGCCTGGACCAGTCAGCGACTGTGCGGGCAGGCGGCCACAGCCGGCCTCGCGCGGGCTCGCGAGTGTGAGGAGCGTCAGCTCCACGAACTTCAAGTAGGGCGAGTTCTCTCCCGCGACCGCGTTCTCTCCCGCGGCCGCAGGGCGCGCGGGGCGGGCGCCGCGGTTTGCAGTGAGGTTTCCCGTTCCACACCGGGGTGCTCTCGTGGGGCGCGGATCTGGACTGAGTTACACAGGCCAGGCATGGGCGGCGATCTGGATGACCCCGACCCCCTCTGCCCCCAGAGGCCGAGATTCCAGACAGACCGGTTGTTTCCGTTTCTGGCGTCTGGGCTGCGGCGTGCGCGGCGACAGCAGTGTCTCTGCGCGGACCTCCTGCCCCCTGCAGGGCCTGCCCAGGAGTGAGAAGCGCCCACCGTCGTGCCTGGCCCCTGTTCTGTGCCGAGTAAATGCTATCCCTGACCTTCTTTTCTTCTTTTCTCTTATAATAATTCTCATCGTTACTTGGTTTGTCTTAACGGGGAGCACCGAATTGAGTGCAGGACATTTGCACTACTGGAACAGTATTTGTCTTCGTGCCATTTGTTTTTTAAACTTTATTCTGAGATTTCTTTGTGGTTGGTTCCCATGTATGTGTATTAAGCGTTTGATGAACTCTGTACAGTTGTTCGATGAAAGGTGAAAATAAAGTCAACCACTAGTATGTGCTTAAAATAAACAGATGTCTCATGCCTTTCATCAGTCAGAAGGATTAGCATCGCTGGGGATGGATCGGCCGGCCCGGTCTGTTACTCAGCAGACCTGGCCCTGTGTCGCTTGGGCTGCAGTAATTCCCTCTTCTCCCTGAGGTGACTTTATCTTGTCTTGTTGGATTGTAGCAGCCTTTTTATCTGTGCTATCTAGTGATCGTACCTAAATATATTGGTAGTTGATTTTAATAAAAGGATATTATGTTGGCAGCAGATCTAATATACCCTGATCAGCCAAAATATTTTAATGTCATGCTCATTGTCTGGGTAGTATCAAAGGTGCAGTTTCATATAAATGCATAATTGCATTTGTGTGAACCCTAAGGTAAATAAAGCTACTGTTTTGTCCCATTAAGTCTATGTTTTACCTACACACTTTCTAATGCACCAGTAGCACAGTCACATTGTAAAATCAAGTTACTGTCTGACCCAGAGACCGTAGATGTTTAGTCAGTTTTTGAGAAACCAGTGAATTTAGGGAAAATTATGTTTGAAAAGAAGCTTGGAGATCTAGCTTTTGTAGCTGAAGACTCTAGGCTTGGACAGAAGAGACTGCTTATCCATAACTGTACAGCTTGCCAAGGTGGCAGTGAGAGGGTAACAAAACATCTTTGAGCGCCAAGATCAGACTTCATAAGCTGCAGCGAGTTTCTTCAATGGATCAGCAACAGTGATATCTACAAGCCAGTGGGCAGTGAGCCTTCTCCATAGGGCGAAGCCTCCACAGCAGGGTAGCTGTCTCTCATTCTTGCTCTCCCACAGATTTTTCTAAGAGCAGTACTAACACTGAGAGATAAAACTTCAATTAAACAATGATTTAGATGGAAACACCAAAACAGGTTACTCTCATCTTTTAAAAGTTGCTTTTTTGGTTTTTTCTGGTTTCCTTCAAGCCGTTGTGCTGAACTTCAGTTGATCTTAGCATTTATCCTGAGTGTTGAGGCATACTTTTCCCCCATAGGTGAGAGATAATTGACTTTGCCTGGCTTAAGTGTAAGGCAGGGAGAGAAAACTGTTATGAAGCTTGGCTTCATACTTGTGAAAACTTATTATATAACTTTATTTTCTTCCTTGAAATTTGTAATATGATAAAATTAAAAAGTGAAATGATGCCTTCATTTTGGCCATTTTGAGTGATCAGAATTATGTTATTGGCTCAAAATAGTAGGTCTTTAAGTTCAGTGTCTTTAAAGAAAATATTTTGTGCATATTTCAGGTTTTATTCTTCCCAAAGCAAAAAATCTCCCTTTTTTCTCTTTTTTTAAAAAAAAATTTTGTTTTTTAAACATTTCCCACAATTTAAAGGTTGTATATGCCATTCTTGGCTCTGGTGAACAATTATTACCATAATCAAGAACAGAGATAGCACTTTGAGAAAACCGCAGCATGTTCTCTGTAACACGGTACATGGGTACATGTGGAGCTTGGATGCAGCTGAAGAAACTTGATACTGATACTCGGAGGTGAGGTTATGTAGGTTAAATGGAAGTTTTTACCATCCATAGCGAAAAATTTTTATTGTTGAAACTTGATAATCAGCATATATTGAATGAAGCCCTATTTAAAAAAAAAAAAGAAGTGGAAGGTCATAGTTTTTAGTGGTTTTTTTTGTTGTCTCAGTTCTCCAGACTGCTTGAGAAAGCAGAATGTTCTCCACTAGTGACCGCGTGTGCATTTGTTCCACCTTTTGTGCCTTTGCTGTTCTCTAGTACTCTTTTCCTGTCAGGTACATAGAGGTGAGTCAGGAAACAGGGAGCAGGAGATGACTGGACTGTGTCCATGTTTTCTAGCTGTTGGGATGAGTCTGACCATTTGCACTTAGACTGACTACCCTAGGGTGTTGAGCATCTCAGCAGCCATGGCATTATGTTGGTATTCCTAGTGAAAACAAAAGTCCACAAGTGTGGAAGAATCATGGTAAAATTACACTTAGGTAGGCCTGCAGAAAAGGTTATTCTTGCAGTGATTCCTTTGTGTATGTAAGAGAGAAAAGAAAAATAGTCGGTCAACATTACCTTATAAACTGGGTGTTAAAGAATGTGACAGATTTCTGCTCTGGTAAATGTTTTCAAGTATTGAGGCTGCAGTATTAGATACTAGTAAAACTATCGTGAGTGTTCTACTCCCAGAGAGCAGAAAGGTTACTTGGGGCAGTAGCAGCCGTGCCATTCTTCAGAAGCTTGCCAACATTTGAGGGTCAAGCTTGAGAGGAAGGGACCATTTCTCCCAGCCCTCTTGGTGCTTGTGTCCTTTGTGTAATGTTTTGGGAAAGAGAGGAGCTGTGTGGTGTCACTGCAGCCTCACCGGTTGGTGGAGAAAAGTTTCGTCCTCAGAGTTTCACTACTAAGCAGGATGGAGATGGAAGGGACGCCCTTAGTGGAGACGGCATGAGAAACTTGCTGAGGCTGGTGTGTGAGAACAAGCAGAGACAGGCAAGACTTTCTCATTTGATAGACCCTGAGAGTTGAAATTCTGAGAATATGACCTGGTCCACTTGGCCAAAGATTTGTTTAGTGAATTAGGATCCATGTGCTGTGTGTCAGGTGTTCATTCAGTAATGACCCAAACTGCCTGTCTTTCTGGAGCTTAGGTTCTAGTGGAGAACACCTATAAAAGTAAGCAAACCCAACTCCAGGTAGTATTAAATACTTTGTAGAAAATAAAGCAGGATAAACAGGGATTAGATCAGGTCTGATCCGATTAGAAGGTAAAATTTACATAATTTTAACAGGGAATGTTTAGTAGACTTGCTGTCAGGGGAGTATGGAGTAAGGAAAACCAGAGGGTGTAGGAACAGATAGTTAAAGTAGCCCCTGTAGGTCGGACTGAGCTGGTATCTGCAGAAAAGCTAATCCCTCCAAGGTGAAGCTCTTGACTTCATTGGAGGCAGTGTGGCCTTGTCTTTCCTGAGTTGCACTGGACCATTTTAGCAGCCGTCATGGCTCAGGACAGGGATCCGTGAGCCAGAGTACATAGGCTGGAGCCTGGTCATGCCTTCCGCTTCCTTATTATATATAGCTGCTGCTTGCTGCAGAGGTGGCGTCCTGGCCTTAAAATCAGTATGATACATACTGCAGGTGTCAGTGCCTGCTTTGGAATATCCTAGAGAGCTGTTGGGGAGATGTTTTTGTAGGGCAACTGCTTTGAAACCTCCCAAGGCGAGGAGAGTAACAGGGAAAGTTGTCCTCTGCGGTTGCTGCTGACCAGTTAGGTGTTACAAGCCAGGATGCTGGAGAGCCTCTTTGCAGGCAGGAGTGTCCAAGGACCAACCTCCTGTCTTCTATCTCCAGGGCCCTCCACCAGCAGAGCTTGACCTCACATTACAGAAAGAAAGCGAGTAGTTAAGGAGCCCTGTTGCATGTGCATAGCATATATAGTAAATGAAATTTCGGACCAATAATTTGGTAATTGGCACATAAACTGAGTGGACTGAATATTTTCAGAAGTGTATGGAGGAAAGCCTTTCTGCAGAGGTGGCATTCGAACAGGCCTGAGTGATTAACCAGTGTGGGCCAGAGGAAAGGGTTTGTGTGAAATTTGGGCTGTGGTGTGTCCAAGGAAGCCGAAGGCCTTCAGATGTGGGGAGTGCTAGAGCACCTGGGGAGGCAGGAGTAGCCCTCTTCTCTTGGTGGTAGAGCCAAAAGGTGGGGGGACCCATTGGATGGTGATCAGTTTCTGCCATGCTGTTGGAAATCGTGGTGACTGAGACCAGGCACCCCACAGTAGAAGTGGAGTGAATTGGCTGTAGCTGGAGCAGGGACAGCAAAGAGCTGAGAATGATGCATAGATTTGGCCTAAGCAGTGGGGTGAATCCACTTGGCGAGTTAGGGAACGGTGAGGAGAAATGCTGATTGGGGATTCTGCTTGGCCACATTTTAAATTTGACATAGTGGATCACTAGTGTCATACCTAATTGAAAATCTAAAATCTTTCAAATCTGAAACTTTAGGGCTACTCAAATCAATACGTTCCATGCACCTGTTCCAAACTTTTTAAAAAAAATAACAGTGTTTCCCGACATAAAAACAACCATCTGAAATACAAGTTTCAGGTATTTTGATATCAAGGATACCAACCTGTGTTCTTGGACAGCTGGTTCATTGTGCTTGTGTGTGATGAGCACATTTTGTGGCATGACCACACCTAGTTTCAGAAAGGTGGGGAGGAGCAGTGTGAGGAGGAACAGGAGTCTTTCTGAGCAATGTCACTGACTTCTGTACTCAAGGATGTCCAAAAAGGGATGTCACCGGGCATCCTGGGTATGACCAGCCCTCAGGGATGAGTTAGGAGCTCACAGGTGACAGAGTTACGGGACTGAATGAAATTATTTGGGAGGACAGATGAAGACAAAGGAGCTGAAAGATGGGTATTCAGAATTTAAAGGTTGTAAAGACAAGGAAAAGCCAGAAAAAGAGACCAAGAAGAAAATCAAGGGAGTCATTCATAGAAGTGAATGAAAGAGTGGTTCAGAAAACAGCCAGTCAACTATGGAAGATGCTTTTATGAATGTTTCTGTGTACCTCTGGCGTTTCTCAAGGTTGGTCAGTGCTGTTACTGAACTGTACCAAAGACCTCGACGGCTGAGTGCGATTACTGGAGTACAGGCTGGAGCTATTTTAATCTCCAGAGAGCACATGGTGTTTTCCTCTGAGAAAACAGTCCTCCAACTCTCACGTTAGCCAAACAGAGAGATTTGCCATTGACCCAGGTCCTCAAACTGGATTGTTAATCATTCCTAATAGTTACTAATCGAGTGGATATGCAATGTTACCTCAGTGAGAGTTGATGCTTCCCTGATTGCTAATGAGCTGTAAAACGTGTGTGTGTGTGTGTGTGTGTGTGTGTACACACATACACCCATTTCTTTTCTGTTCTGTGGAATGTTTATCTACTTTTTTATCCTATTTATTTGTGGGAATTCCTTATACTGTATAGTATCACTTGATTTCAGGAGGAATTAACAGCTTTACAACGTTACATTTCCTTATTGCCTCTTTTGATATTTTCTTGAAGGTCCTATAATGTTTCACTATTTATTTATTTATGTTTGTCCTTTTCTTTTTTATTGGTACTGGGGATGGAACTCACAACCACACACTTGCAAGGCAAGGTGCTTACGCCGCTGAGCTAAATCCGCAGCCCCCCACAATTTATTTTTGATATCTACCATTGTTCTGTGATTGGCATCATTTACTCCATTGTAGTTTCAAGATGTTTTCTCCTTTGTACCCTAAGGAGAGAGGATGGCTTTCTTTGCATTGAAAGAAAAGTGTGCATTTTATGTATCTCCTGATCCATGTGAAACTGATTTTTGTGGGTGGTTTGATGATTCAGTTTCCTTGTTTCCCATACGTTTGGTTGGCCAGTGCTGTTTCAATTGTTCAGTCATCCCTTTCCAAGTGCGAATATGGCCATTTTTGTGATTTTTTTTTTAAATGGCGGTAAGATATACATAAGAAAACTAATCATTTTAGGCCCTTTTTAAGTGTGCCTTCATTGGCATTAGTGCGTTTGTGTTATTGCACAACCTTTGCCACCATCTGTCTGTGGGAGTTTCTCCTCTCTCCAGACTTAAACTAGTTGGAATGCAATAGTCCCTTCCTGGTACTCCTGTCAGAGCCTGTTATCACCTTTCTGCCTGTAGGAAATCAGCTTTTCTGGATAGTTCGTAGAAGTAGAGTCATGCCATGCTTATCCTTTTGCAACTGAATCTCTTAGCAGGATCTCTAGATTTATCAGCATTTGTCATGTGTCGTAATTTTTTTCCTCCTTAGAAAGCTAATATTTCACTTAAAGTTTATATGACCTTTTATTCTTCTGTTCATAGACAAAGGAGGTTGATTCCTTCTTTTAGCTGTTGTGAATAATTTTACTGTGAACAGGAGATACAAACATCTGTTCAAATTCTGGCTTTTTAAAAATTACAGAGCTACCAAAAAATGCTGGGCGTGGTTGTCTTCCCAGCATTCAGGAGGCTGGTTGAGGCAGGATTGTCACAAGTTTGAGGCCACCCTGGGCTACGTAGCGAGTTTAAGGCCAGCCTAGACTACACAGCAAGACCCTGTCTCAAAAGAAAAAAAAAAAAAAAAAAACACCTCCAAATGCATCTAGAGTGGCGGTTGGTGAATCATGTTGTAAATCCATGTTTGTCCCTGAGGAAGCAGTACGCTGTATTCCGCAGCAGCCACATTTTATGTCTTAGGAGCGGTTCACAGGGGCTCGTGTTTGTCCACATTTCGCAAATTCTTGTTTTCTGCTACTTTTGCTGATAAACATCCTAATGGTTGAGAAGTAGCCTCTTATCATGGTTCTGATTTTCATTTCCCTGATGATTAGTGCAATTGGTTATCTTTTCATATCTTTATTGGGTAATTGTCTATTCAGGTCATTTTTTATTTTCTTTTACTTTTCATGATTGTACTGGGGATTGAACCCAGGGCGTTTTCTCTTGAGCTACATCTCGAGTCCTTTTTATTTTTTAATTTTGGGACAAGATCTCCCTAGGTCACTAAGATGCTCAGAATGCTCAAACCTGCAGTCCTCCTACCTCAGCCTTGTAGAATACTGGAAATAATTTGCCTTTTTTATGGCTTGATGTAATTTTGGTTAGTATATGTTTGTGATACATAATAATTGCATTCACTTTGGAGATTTGGTGTATACCCATATCTTATCTTAATCATCTTCCTTCCCCTTCCCACCCCACCTTTCTGTCCCTCCATTTCCACTTCTCTTTTATTTTGCATTTTAAACGTTTGTATTTTGAATTGGATTTTTGTTTTTGTTTTTGAATTGTAGTTTTTGTATCAGATATCAGATGCCAGGTACATCAGGTACATATCAGATGCCATTTATAAATTTTGCCTTTTCACACTAGTGATTTGCTAGTGCTTTTTGTCCCCAAGTTTTAAAATGCGATACAGTCCTATCTGTCTGTTTGCTTTCATTGCCTGCAGTTTGGTATCATGTCAAGAAAGCAGTGCCAAATCCAGTGTTTTGAAGATTTTCCTTTAAAATTTATCATCTTAGCTCTTGTGTAACTCTTTTAATCCTTCAGAGTTAGTCTTTATAGATGGTGTCAGGTACAGGCCTGACTTTATTCTTTTGCACATGAATAAGCACCGTGTATTGAAGAGACTGCTTTCATTTCATAATCATTGTGTCACTCTTGTTAAAACCCTTGTGGGCTTTAGTTCTGGGCTCTGTTTTTCCCATTCGTCTGCATGTCTATGTCAGTTCCATACTGTTTTGATTACTGTATTTTTGTAGTAAGTTTCCAGTTTTTTTTATTTTTTTATTTTGATGTGGTATGTGGTTTCCAAGATAAGGGACCTGCCATGGAGCCTCGGCTGGTCTGGAACTGGCAGCAAACCTCCCTCAGCCTCCTGAGTGCTGAGTACTCGCTCTCTTTTTTTTTTTATCTAATACCACAGAATGCAGTGCTTCTTGCAGTTAGTGATTAACATCAGAAAACTTCACTGCAATTTGGCACTTCAGTTTTGTTGCTGCCATCAGGAATAGAGTTGGTGTGAAGCTTTCGCAGAACCAGTTTGAACTCCTGCTGACTGTACGTCAAAGCACCTCTACTAACTGACCTTTTCTGGTTTCTCTTCAGAATGGTCAGAGTTTTTTGGTCTTGGATGAACAGAGATTTGCAAAAGAAATTCTTCCCAAGTACTTCAAGCACAATAACATGGCAAGCTTTGTGAGGCAGCTGAACATGTGTGAGTATGGGCAGCCCCTTGTGTGTGGTGCTTGATGAAACCTCCTTGTTCAGATGATAGAGGGGAATTCTAGCAATACAAGCATCCTTCTTGTGTAACTTCAGTCTCATGTTAGTCGTGTGACTTTTGAATCTCTTCCAGATGGTTTCCGTAAAGTAGTGCACATCGACTCTGGAATTGTAAAGCAGGAAAGAGATGGTCCCGTTGAATTTCAGCACCCTTACTTCAAACAAGGCCAGGATGACTTGTTGGAGAACATTAAAAGGAAGGTGAGCTATTGTTATGTGAATTAACTGGAAGATTGACCTGCCCACTGGTGTACACAGGTGTTCTTGCTGGGATGAATTAGACTCAGGAACCTGTTCCACCCCCGATCCCACCTTGCACTCTTGGCCTTACCCCATACTCAGCTATGCCAGGGAGCCCCAGGATCACATCTAGAAAAAAGAGAATGGTTCACAGCATTGTGATTGAGGGGAGAGTCACACCTTGTAATTGGGTGGATCATGCCACCCAAGTCAACTGAAAAACTAAGCTTTTGGTGGAATATCAGCTCCACGGAGGACTTTTCCTGTGTGGTTCAGTATTACATCCTGTGTGCCTAGAATGAGTCCCTTGCCCATAGTGAGCGTGCCATCGCGTATTTTTTAATGAACTAAATGTGACTGAGTTAATGAAACTTGGGGGGATTATGGGAAGTTTGGCAGAGTGGGGAAACCAAAGAGACCCTAAGATGTCCCTGTTTGTGAGAATTTCAGTTACTTTTAGAATGGCTATTCCTTGCTTTCACTCATTGAGCTGTGAAGTTGCTCTCTCCCTACAATTCTGTCCTGGGCTTTTTGGAACTAGATCTCGCTTCTGAATAAGCTATAAAAATGTCTTCAAGTAAGGTAGTTTTGAATTGTAATTCTGGCTGTTTATGTGTAGTTTTCTACATTTGCCTTTTGGAAGGTTTCATCTTCAAAACCAGAAGATAATAAAATTCGTCAGGAAGATTTAACAAAAATTATAAGTAGTGCTCAGAAGGTTCAGATAAAGCAAGAAACTATTGAGTCCAGGCTTTCAGAACTAAAAAGGTAAAGTATTTCCAAATATAAAGTATATGTTGGGAGTTGAAGGTTGTATGATATTTTAGCTCTGTTGAAGCCAAATCAAAGGTCGTTTTTCTGCAAGTATTGGTTCCCTTTTAATTGTAGTAATCAAAAGGATATAGAAAAATAAGTACATCAAAATAACTTGATATGTAAGTTTGCCGATGAAATAGTAGCAGATTGTGAAGTCAGTGTGAGAAATACAATTGTACTTAGATCAGCTTTCTCACAAATGAGGGCACACATTTTAAAAAATCCTGCATAGAGGCTGGAGATTTAGCTCAGTGGCTTAAGCGCCTGCTTGGTAAGCACAAGATCATGAGTTCGATCCCTGGCACCTAAAAAAAAAAATCCTGCACATTACCCGGTCTTTCGTCTGTGAATGTTTCTTAAAATGGTTCTGTGGCCACTCTTAGGAGAAGTGGAACATAAGGAGTAGGAAAGAAAGGATGCGCCAGCCTTGCCCTACTTCACACAGGCTCTGATCGTCCCAAAGTTGCTTTATTTTGTTTCACTACTTTACTTGGTAGCATTTGCCTAAATTGCCATGGTTCTAACTTGTATTTTACTTAGTAACTGACAAGATCTTGAGCATGGTTTATTCATGTATTATTTCTACCTTTTAAAATGTGGGACATTAGTTATTCCTGACCCATTATCATTAAGATAACCTTCAAATTTGAAATGTCTTCAGTGAATATTATGCTTTCCAATTTTTCATATTTTACATATATTAGTGCTGTTTATTTCTTTTTTGCCTGCATGCTTTCCTTTGATCCAGTTCTTTGCATCTCAGGTTTGCTCTTCAGGAAATGGAATCTCAAATTATCCTTGCAGGTTCCTATCACTCTGTGCTCGTAAGCAGATAACTTTAAATATGAGTCCAAAAAATATAGCAGTTATTTAAGTATTAGCAAAATCGCCACCTATATATATATAAATCTACAGTCACTTTTATAATAACCCAAGTTAAAGATAATAATGGCTTTTAGCAGGTTTTCAAAATACTGAAAACTAAAAACTTTTAGTATTTGGATTATCTTTCACATCTCAGTATATCAGTCCAGCTAATAGTTAATATGTAATTGAAGTTTCAGTCAGAAAATGATAAACGAAGGAACAGAAACTTAATATTGGTTTATTATATCATCCTTTTTTTAAAAAAAGTAAAGCATATATTAATGGTTTGTATATGCTTGTGTTTGAGCTGGCTCTTATAATAGTTTTAGTGTGTGAAATGTAATTTAGTTTGACCTTTCTTTCCTAAAATGAGTCAAAAGGTCAGAGTTGAGTTGCTAACTATGAGTTAAATAAAGGTTAGCTTATTTTTAAATATAAAGTAATGAAACAAACCATCAAAAGGAGTAATTGCCTACTATTATGTGGATGTAGGTGTGTCTTAAGTTTTACATATAAAACTTGGGGAGCAGATACTTGCCAAAATCCTTACTATTCCTTTGTAATCAAAGCTGTTGCCAGTCTTCTAAAAACAGGTGGTTACGAAGTGTTTTCTGGTGTTCTTCAAGATACTGAGGTTTGGTTTTCTGACTGAATTCTTTGTTGGTTTTATTTTTTCATAAACTGTAGTGAGAACGAGTCCCTCTGGAAGGAGGTATCAGAACTAAGAGCGAAGCATGCGCAGCAGCAGCAGGTCATCCGAAAGGTAGGACGCCCCACTCTTTGCTGAACCGATCCTTTCCGAGTCAGGACCCCAGAATTTACTGGGTAGCTGGTAGTTTATCTTAGTTTTGGATACACAGAACTATAAGTATGAAGTCTAAGCAGCTTAGGCCAACTGTTCTGTCTCCGTTTTAGCAATGACAAAAACACTTTGCTAATGATGACCATCACATACTTCTAGATAGTATCTCAGCACACTCAGTGGAGAATGGCCTTTTGATGTACTTGAAGCAGCTTGATACGCTACCTTTTTAACTGAATTTTTAACATTGTAAAACAGGCTTTCTGTGTTTGGGTGTTTTAGGTGTATTTTCAGCAATAGATGTAGTTAATTTTCAAGTCATCTAAATTATGAGTTGAAAGATGCTGTGTGAGTGGGTAGCGTGGGTGGCCTGCACGTGCAGAGGAACCGTCAGTGTTTGGAAACCAGTCCCTGCATTTGCACAGCTGTGCTGAAAACACGCAAGCGAGGTTGGAGCTCCTGCCTGGCAGGTAGTGTCTGAGTCCAGCTTCACGTACCAGCTGCCTTTGTTAACCAGAGGTAAAGCAGGAAGGTCTGCTTGGCAGCTGTTTTTTGCGTGAGTATATGGGACCATAAGCAGCAGATTGTCTGGAAGGGAAGGCGGGGCCCTTCCCACGTGTTCCTGTGCAGAGGCACTGGGACTAGAAACAGCTCTGCTGAGGGGACCTGGGCTGTGGAGCCATCGAGGATGGGCAGCAGTTACGCCGGGCACACCCCGGCATAGTGTGGACCATTGCTTAGAATTAGAGTACAGATGAGGCCTGGATGTAGCAGCCATCATAGTGTTCCCCTGAAGATGCAGCTTTTCTGAATTTTCCCTCACTGGTGCCTGTTTGCCACATGCAGTGTGCCTGTCCTTGGGTGGTAGAGTCAGTACATGAAGTGTGTGTGGTTTAAAAACTTCTAGAGATGACTATAAGGCCTAACCCAATGAAGAATATCTAATTTAAAATGCTACGCGTGTTTTCATCTGAACTTTATAGAGGAAATCTGTTAGTATTTCAGAAAGATAATGTTCTGCTTAAATGTTAATTTACATTTCTACAACATGTAGATATTTTTTCTAAAAGCACAGGTAAAGTAGTTGTTTGCATTTCAAGTTTTCATGAAAATTAGTGTATAGTCAAATTTGAGTTTGATCTGTTTTGGTGAGTAGAGTTATGTAACTGAGGTTTTTTTGTTTTTGTCCCGGGGATCGAACTCACAACCTCGAGCTTGCAAGGCAGGCGCTCATGCCACTGAGCTAAATCCCCAGCACATAACACTTGTTGACAACTAATAGTCTTTAATCTGACCCTGGAATTTGTTCCTCACTGCCTAAATTTCAAATTTGTGCTTGTGAGTGCTACGTGTGAGATACTAAAGACCTCTCCAGGCACAGAAGCTACACGTTGTAACTGCAGTCTTTTCCTCAGAAAAAGCCTCGCTCGCACAATAGGATACCGGTGTGTGTAGAGGGAGCTGAGTTGGATAATAAATTTAGCCAGTGACTCATGTTCTCATGAAGCTAACCACTGGTGTTTCTAGAATTTTCCTGATTCTGTCTTAAGTCTTCAGTTAAAATGTCTGCATTTTTGTCCTTTGAATATTTGATACTGGCTATAGAACAGTTATAGTTCAGGAAGCCCCTTTTGGAGAGAAATGTGCTAAATAATAGGTATTCTTAATTGATAATCTTTTAATCATGTAATTACATGGTAATTTCAAATCAGTCTTCTGCACAGTCTCAGTGGTCCTCTGCTCACAGCCTCTGTCCATCATTTGTATATTTTTCATAGTTTACCTATGGTCTCCACTTTTTTTGCACATTAGGTAGGGAGGATTTATAATCACCAACTTAGCTGTGCCCTACACCAGTGGTTCACATACGTTAATGTCACGTGGAGGGCTTATTGAAGGTCAGGTGCTCAGACTTCAGTTACTATTCAGGAATTTCTGAGATTCTTCGTCTGTAGCAAGTCTAGGCCAATGTTGCCTGGCTAAGGACTACACTTTAAGAAATACTACTATAAAATATGAAGTTTTGTTCACATTGTCCAGTTGTTTTTCCCTCCACATTTAATCAGATAATCAAAATTCAGTCATTGTCCTTGATTGTGAATAAGAAGCTTTTTTGATGGATGTACCTCAACAGTAATCTATAGCATCAGACAAGAAAACGTTTTCTAACTCAAAGTGTTATGATCTATTTTGAAAGAATTAGCCATTCCTTTTGCCTGTAGTTACATTACTTAGTGTAAGAAAAATGATGCCTATGAAATACGAACTATTTGCATTTTAATAGTCATCTTGAAAACATTTTAAATAAAAAGTTGGGATTTCTTTCATGTAAAGTTAGGTACTGTCATCAAAACAAAGAGTTGTGTAGCTGATGTGACTATACCTAGTTATAAAATGTATTCAGATTTTAAATATTAGCATGTGAATTAAAATAAGGGCATATAATAAGTCAAATAAGACTTATTTGATAGGACTTGTGAATATAAAGCATTAAAGAATCTATAGTGGAAGAACTGTAACGTGTATTTTCCTTTCAGATTGTCCAGTTTATTGTTACACTGGTTCAGAATAACCAGCTTGTGAGCTTAAAACGTAAGAGGTAAGTCTTTATGATAAAATGTTTTGACTTGTACATAAACATTTTAGTTATTTAGCTACATTTGGCCTACATTCCTGATGTACCAAAAGAATAGTCCTCACTTGTTGAAATATATTCACATCCCCAGAGTGAGCTTACAGGTTTCATGTTCCTTATCCAACATTTTTGAGATCAGAAATGTTTTCAGATTTCAGATATTTTGGGTTTGGGGATATTTACATCTATGAGGCATCTTTGGGATGGACTCTAACTTGAATGAGAAATGACATGTTTTATACATACCTTACGCGCATAGCCTAATGGCAGTCTCAGGCAGGATTTTTAATATTTATGCCTGAAATAGTACATGTCAAGTGCCTGAAAGGGTCGAAGGGTCTGACAAACGGTTTTGTGCCAAATCTGGCCCATCACATTAGGTCAGGTGTGGGGTTTTTCATTTGTAGTGTCATACTGGTGTTCAGAAATTTTCTGATTTTGAGGCATTTTAGCTTTTATATTTTTGGACTAGGGATGCTCAACCTGTGCTTCCTTCTACTGTCAGCCTTCCCTTGTTTTTGAGAGACAAAAATAGCTCACATGGTCACTTTATACAGACATGTGGTTAATAAAGAATCTTTTTTTCATTTACATTAGCAGTTTAAAGTTAGGAGGCCCATGTCAGAAAAATTCCAGGAAGAGATCATTTGTTGAAAAAGGGTAGATTTTGTTTTCTTTCTCTATTTTTTTATTTTTTTCTTTTGGTACCAGGGATCGAACTCATGACCTTGCATTTGCCAAGCAGGCACCTTACACCGCTGAGCTAAACCCCTGGCCCCTAATATTCTCTCTCTTAACCTTTAATCCCCTCATAGTTTTTTTTAAAATTCTGCCTTAACCATGGGTTGTGATATCTCTAAATGTCAGTGGCTGCTGGCATCACGGCTGAACCAGATGACAGACAGACAGAAGGAATGGTTGTATCTGTAAGGCTAAGATTCAGGCCAGGGTTTAATTCATGACAGCTGTGCGAGTTCACCTCTGCTTTCACTAACTGGTTCTTAAGATGCTGTGTATTTCTTTTTAACCATGCAAGAGTAAGAATAGTCTGTAAAGATCTGTTTGACTTAGTGGGCAGTGAAGTTTGTCTGAAATTTACTGTATTTACCCCACCAAATAGTAGGGAAGAGCAGAGCTAAGAGTCCTAGGCAGTTCTCATCTCCAGGCGTCTGTCCCGCAGCTGTGTCGTGTTGGAGGGCTCCTGGCTTTTGTTGCTGTGTTGGGTTGATTTTGTGGACGTGGAAATCCCACCTAGGACCTGCATGCACTAGGCAAATCTTGTAGCCCTGAGCCGCGTCCCTGCTCCTTAGGTGTTTGTACCAGTCTTTTACCTGATATGAAAATGTACTTGGGAACCAGTACATTACTAGAAAAAAATTAAATTCTTTGTATTTTTGCTGCATGGAAGCACATGAATATTCTTCTGCTTTCCCAGGCCTCTACTTCTAAACACTAATGGAGCCCAAAAGAAGAATCTGTTTCAACATATCGTCAAAGAACCAGCTGATAATCACCACCACAAAGTAATTTTTTCCTGTGTATTTTTTATTTATTCTACCAGAGTATAAATTTTACCGTGGCAGCATTGAATGCAGAGCTCAGTGAGTACAGGGACTCATTCCCTACTTCTGTGAAATGACATTTTTCATTACTTATTTTAGATTTTTTTTCAAGAAGCAAATCATTACAGATATAGTTGTCCCAGTTGCCTACTTCTAAACTTGTTTAGAAGTAAACTTGTTTTTTCCTCTTTAGATCGTATTTCTTCTTCCAATGGCTGTTTTATATATGTGCATCTAGGAGCAGTATTCTATGTTGTTTTATATATATGTAAACTTCATAAAAATGTGATCATTCTGTACCTGTGACTTTATAGTATGTCTTTTTTTAGTTGCAGTTACTCTTAAAATTTATAAAACATGTAGTCCAAGTACTGTATAAATTGAACATTATGGTAATATAATTGTAATGTAATAAGGTAATGCATTTTTCTGTTGTTTCTATTTCCACCTGCTGTTATGTATGTTCATCAACACTCTTTTCTCCTCTAGCAGTTTCAAAATAGTTTTCTTTACCTTAATTTTTGCCAAAGTCTCTGTGGATAATTTGTTAGAGTTACATTCAGTTGTAGATAAGTCCTGTTTGTTTGTTTGTTTGTTTGTTTGTTTAAGGTGCTAGGGTCACATCTCCATGCTAAGCATTCTACTATCGAGCTAACCTTGTTTTAGAGATACTGCTTCAGGTTTATTAAACTATCAAGACCCCCCCAATCAGAATTAACTTCAAATCTGATTTGTCTTCCAACTGTTATTTCTAAATAATCAAGCCTACTTAACTATCGTGTTTGTAGGATAACTATGTCCTGAAGTATCTGTAGCTTAAAAAGCCAGAAAGAGCTGAAGTGCTGTCTTTGTTTTAGTAAAGCTGTTCTGTAGGAAAGAGTTGTCAAATGAAGCTGCTTGGGCTGAATGATAGTCCCTGTCAGTACAGTGGCCACCTGATCATGCTTCAGATGTCTGACGTTCCCAGACTTTGTATTTTTTAGGTGTAAATGCATTAGAACTTGAAGAGCTTTCAATTCAGACATTCTTGGGTTTCTTGTGCACTGCCTTCACAGTAAAAACAATAACTAAGAGGAGCAGATCGAGTACCCAGACCTCTGGGAAGAGTAGTGCCAATATCATTAGTGTATGTCCATAAGGACAGAAGGGATGGCTGCTTTGCTTACCGTTGTGTTTCCAGCATTTAGAAACAGTACAGGGGTCTTCTTCTATGAGTGCTGTCCAGTTTGGTTGTCTGTATGATGTCAGCACTTTCAATCTGTTTTGTTTTCCCTTCTATTTTAGGTCCCACATAGTAGGACTGAAGGTTTAAAGCAAAGGGAGCGGGTTTCAGATGACATCATCATTTATGACGTCACTGATGATAATGCAGATGAGGAAAATATCCCAGTTATTCCGGAAACAAATGAGGATGTTATATCTGATCCCTCCAAGTAAGGAGTTTGTGGATATAATTTATGAAAATATTTAAATGTTATGAGACCATTTTTTCCTCTGATGACCTTCAACTAGATAAAGTGCCCCACACCCCAGCAAAGAAGTAGTACAAATTGGTTTTTATTTTGGAGTTTTAAAATAATTGTTTCTCCATGGTCTTGTACCCAGTGAAGTGTCTCAGTACATGTGACTAAGCAGCTTACTCAGGAACGGAGACTGCATAAACCCTTCTGTTTGGGGTGTTTCCAGGAGAGTCAGTGGGTAGACTCAGTATGCTGAGCCAGTCTGAGAAGGTCATGGGTTCTTCTTTTGCACCGATCCAGCTGCAGCCAGTACCCTGACATTGTCATTGTTGAGGACGACAATGAGGATGAATACGCACCTGTCATTCAGAGCAGCGAGCCGACAGACTCGACCAGAGAGTCCCCGAGTCCAGGCGGTGATGGCAGCAGCCCTCTCATGTCCAGTGCTGTCCAGCTAAATGGGTCCTCCAGTCTGACCACGGAAGACCCTGTGACCATGATGGACTCCATTCTCAATGACAACATTAACCTTCTGGGAAAGTGAGTGCTCACTGGGTGGCAATCTGACTCACCTGCTGTCTCCGTTCGTCACATAGTCTGTCTAGAGGATGGACTCACTGGTCTGCTTTTTTGTTGGGTAGGGCTGGGCTCTTAATGAGAGAGACTTAGTGGTTCCAAGAGTAGTTTTAAACTTTTCCTGGGACGTTCCTCAAATTTCTGTAATGCAGTACTTGCTTTGAGTGTCTGTGTGATTGTAATGTGTTTATACCAGGACTATGAATTAATCTAATTACTAGTAATAAAGAGAAAAAGATAAGCCAGACTGTGGTGTTGTGGAGCCTTATTTTCCGTAAATAGTGAAGTTTTGTGTGAAGCCTGTGAGTGCTCCGCCCTGTTTTTAGGATCCTGAGTTGTGAGTAGAGAGCCTCTTAGGGTAAAAGCTGCTAAGGACCCAGCAGTTGCTGGAGTCTTTTGTCGAGGCAGGTTGCAGTGGTGATTGAAGTGTCAGATGGAGGAGCCCTAACGTTTCCTTTTAAACCTGCTCTTCTCAGGGTCGAGCTGCTGGACTACCTCGACAGTATCGACTGCAGCCTGGAAGACTTCCAAGCCATGCTGTCGGGCAGACAGTTTAGCATCGACCCGGACCTCCTCGTTGATGTAGGTACCACTGAAGCTTCGTTGTGCTGGTCATGTGTCTGTTTAGGTGGATTATTTAGAAAGCAGTGCATATGGAGTTTTTCCCCCTTTCGTTTTGTTTGCATTTTCTTTTTGTCATAAAGGATAAACAGATAGGGCTGGAGTGTCTGGGATGAGTGAGGGGAGCTCAGTTCCTCCCCTTAACAGGATCTGGGTTGTCTTGGTAGTGTTGGACAGAACTTGTCTGGACCTGTTGCTGTGCTGTGCTGGACTCTTAGGTCGTCTTGAGTAGACATCTGTGGGAGTGATAGAAGTACCTAGCCAGGACTTGGCATGAAGATGCCTCTTAATACTCAGGAACTAGTACATTTGCTGGGTTTTTATGTCATGTGCCTTGAGTCCTGAGTGCTCCCTATACCAGGCCCTGGTGTCGTGTGAGTGTGAATGCTCCCTTTTGTGCACCTGTTTGGGATGTGGTCTGAGTGTGAATCTTCCTCCCGTCTTTATACTCCTGGCCCTGGTGTGATCTGGCTGTGAATCCCCTTCTCCACACGAGGTTATGATATGCTCTGGGTGTGAATCCTCTGTCTTGTGCATGTGGCCCTGGTATGTGGGTGTGAGTCCTCTTGTCTCTGCTTTTGGCCCCAGTGTGATGTGGCAGTGACCCCCTCCCCCGTCACTGTGCTCCTGGCCCCAGTGTAGTTTGGTGTGGGTGCGAATCACTCCCCCCCCACCAATCTGTGTGCACCTGCCTTAGTGTGGTCTGGGTGTGAATCCTCCTCTGCTCTTGCTGGCACTGACTGCAATTCTCTCCCATCTTCTTCTCTTCTTACCCCGCTCTGCTCTCCTCTATCACAGCTTTCTACATGGTCTTGTGCCACTCAAGCGAACTTTGTTATCATCTGTTTCCATTTTTTTTGTGTGTGAACATCTGTTTTTCTTTTTTCTGAGAAGCTTTTTGCTCTTTTGTGAGGGTGTGGTTCCTGCCTTTTCTGGGTCTTCTGTCTCTTCAGAAGACACTTGCCAGGCTCTCACTCTCTCTGGTTTCCCATGGCCTCAGCCTCCCCTGTCGGCAACACCACTCAAATGAGTGCCGCTTCCTTTGGAGCTTGGATTCCTGTGCCAGCCGGAGTCCCCACCTGAGTGAATTGAACTTCTGCGTGATGCCCACTTCTCATGTTCATCCTTGCCAGCCTTTGCTGATTCTGTCTGCTGTGTTTCCATTCAAAACCCAGGGCTGTCACAGCAGCCATTCCCACGTCACAAGGGGGCAGGGAGCACCCCTCATTCTGACCGCTGCAGTCTTGGCATCCCTGAGCTCAGCCTGAGCCCCGTTCATTCGAGTTTGTCCTCTGTCCTGCTCACAGAGACGCAGTTACTAGGCTCTGGTCCCCTGAGCCGTTTCTCTGTGCTTGGTCTCATTCCTTTTCTTCTTAGAGGAAGTACTTCCTCCAGCCATGTGTATGCTTGTCCTCTTGCCTATTTTTTCATCTTCGATCTTTGATCAATCCTCAATAGGCACAGATCTTCCTGTCTTACAAACAAGTATTTCAACTCTTTATTCTATTAACCTTTATGCTTCTCTTATCCATCACTAAAACTTTAGAAATGAGTGGCTGGATTTCTTACGTGGTTTTTACTCACTGCCTTCTGAAACCTTGTCTTCTGTGTAACCCTGTGCTGCTACCTAAGTTTCTCATAAGTAGGCTGAGAAAACTGCCTCTTTTGTTTTCCTAAACTACTGAGCCGTTGTAATAGAAGAGTAGAGGAAGTTCGTTTTGAAATCCGGTCTGGGTCTGTTACTGGCTTATGTTACTCAGTAGCTATGTTATTAACCTTGGAAAAGCTAACCATTCTCAGTTTCTCCATCTGTTCAGTGTACCCTAATATGAAGAGCTGTTACAAGAAGTAGTAACAATTAATACTAGGGTTAACTGTACCATAGCATTGTTGAATATTCTACCATGGAATTTTTTGCTGATTTTAGAAGTAATGGATCTCTGTACTTCCAGTCTCACTAATCGTGCTGTTTCTTCTCGGGAGCTTTGCTTTCTCCAGGCACCCAAGATTTTATCCTCTTTTTCTTTTCTACCTCTCTTTCCGCTCTTCCTTTGTGAAGAGATTTTGGCTTTTAGGATTGTTGTGACGCGGTTAACTCCAGTTTGTCACATTTTTTAAAGTAAACTTGGCTTCAATTCTGATTCCATGCCTTTGGGATCATTGGTTGGTCTTGCCTCCTGTGACATTCAGTGCCAGACTTCCTTACTCCCTGTGTGCTAACTCCTTACAGCTTTCTGGCTGTCTGTAGTGGCACCAGATTTCTTTGTATGATTCAGGGTGGTGCCCTGGAATATTTTGATTTCCCCTTCATCACCCCGTAAGCCCCGAGTAGTTTCACAATCCATTCAGGCCCTGCTGACTTTCACTGTTGCTTTCTCGTCCAGGACCCTTGCTATTTCCTCCTTGAATCACACTGTGTTTTCATACACAAAAGGCCCTGAGATGTCAGGGATAGGATAAGTACATTAGTGGTGTGTGGCTGCTCTGGAGAGCCCGGTGTTGGGTGACCCACGTGCAGACAGCAGGGGCCTGGGCTTGGGTTCCAGCAGCTGTGTGTGTCCCTCTCCTGCCTTCTCACTTTGCCTCGCACTTTGCCAGGCATCTGTTGGGATGCCTGCGGGGTGTCTTGTCTTGGCGAGGAAGGCAGAAGAGGATGCTGTGCAGGTTCTGGCCTTCTAGGGGATCCTTTGAAGAGAGCAGTGTGCGGTCCGGCCTCTAAGGTCCTGACAGGCGAGGGCCCAGAGGTGAGTGACCGCTGTGCTGTCTGCTCTCCAGGGCCTGGGCTCACTGTCCACTAAGGGTCAGTGGGTAGTAGCTGGAAAGGGAGGGAGTGAGAGAGGAAAGAGAAGCCAGCGATGTCTCTGAGACCACCTTCGCGTGAGCTGTGTGGAACTTGGAGGAGAGGCGCCAGCACTGGGAGAGAAGGGAGGAAGGGGCGCCGTGGCCTCCGCACCTTGCCCCAGTGTTTCGTTTCCGTGTCTCATTGCAGTGCGCGCTGCTGCCCTGCTCTGCTTGAGCGCCTGTGTGTAACTGCTGCTCAGCTCAGGACTCCGTGGCCCTGGGCTGGTCATGCTCATCTCTAGAGCAAGCTGTGCCTTGTTCGTGGTTGCTTGCGCTTCATGGTCGCCTCCAGGCCCTAACCGTTCTCAAGTGACCGAGATGAAGAACAGAGTGACCTTCTCAAGCCCCCTTGGCTTCTGTCACGGGTGTGTCTGTGTGCTTTCCTTCTCATTCGGTGTGCCTGGTCCCATTGAGCCCCACCAAGCTTCTGTACCCTTGGGTTGTATCTGAGTATGTGTCAGCCCTCGGCATTGGGCTCATCTCGTCTTGCAGACTGAAAGTGCTCCCGGAGAGCAAGAGTGGTGTTTCATCACCTTGTCAGTCAGTTCTCAGCCTCAGGGAATCCCCAGGGAATGGCTGATGTGACGCCCTGGCTGAAACGAAAGCTTCCTGAAAGCCAGCATGCAGCGAGCACTGGTCTTAACCCCTAGGACTGCCCTTGGTAGGTGTGGGTAAACATAGCCACAGGTTTGTCGTGCCTTTGGAGGGCTGCTTGGCGGGAAGCACAGGCACCTGTCCCCGAGCAGTTTCTGTGTATGGGTCACCAGTGAGCAGGTATGCAGTGAACGCTTAGTGTAGGACGTGGTGCTCAGGCCTCAGTGCTATAGGAAGCTGGAGGCATCTAGGGAGAGAAGACCAGGAAAGGCCACTGCAGGAGAAGGAATTTAGGACACCCCGCCCCCGTGGTTTGCCAACGGTTTAAAGAGAAACTTGGTGTGTGAGTCCGTCTGATGTGCAGCTGCCTAGCGCTGCTTTTGTGTCTGTTTTCTTCCCCGCGTTTCTCTTCTGAACCTGTTTACTTGTGTAGAAAATTCTAGTACAGGAGTTAGAGCTCTTCACTCAACATGGTTATATAAAAAGTTTGAACACACAAGTCTTTTAAAATATTTTTTAAACTTATCATCTTTCTTGTTTGGTCTTTCAGCTTTTCACTAGTTCTGTGCAGATGAATCCCACAGATTACATCAATAATACAAAAGTAAGTTTAAATTCATGTTGCTGTCAGGACCCATAGCTATACCAATCTGAAAAAGCTTCTAGTAAGTAGCAAGCAGTGTCCTCCCAGTTACGAAAGTATCTCCGTTACCCATATTAACGCTCAAGACAGTAAATTCCAGGTGAGAGGCTGAGCTCGCTTGCAGGGCAGATCATTGCCAAGCTCTGCTTGGCATGTGTGAGGTGAACTGTGTGAAAGTGGCAACCGCCAGATTGTGCCTTGTTGAGAGATGCCCTTGAAATCAGTGATGAAAACAGGATTTCTTCATGTTTTAAGTGCTGCATTTCATGTTCTTATTCATTCTCTAGACTTTTTAGCTTTTTTTAATTAAAAGTTTATTGATACATTCTATAAGTTTCATCATTGTATTAGCATACATTAAGAACCTAAGAATTTATACTAACTGCAAGTCAGGCAAATTTAAAAACTGAAGTATAGATGATAGACTTCTGTCTTAAGTTGAAAAGACTGTTTTATTAAACGTGTAGTTGGGCTTAACAGGTGTTGACAAAGGGCTCCTCTTGGGGTTGTGAGAAGTAGTCGGGCAAGAGAGAGCGGGGAGTCAGCAGGAGCTGAGGAGCTGTGCTCTGGTTCATACGGCTTGTCGCCTGGGCTAGGGACAGACTCCCCTCTCCTAGGAGTTTTAGGAACCCTTATTTTTTATGGAACTCAGAGATAAGTCTGAGTTTCCGAATGTGAAATCAGAATTTTATTTGATTCTTGTTCTGTATAATCTGAGAATGAGCACATTTCAAACAAACATGAATAATTACAGTGATGGATTAAATTTTTTATTGTTATTTGTGAGGAGGCCTGACTAGGTTTTCTACATTCCCACGGTGACAGCCTGGCTGACTTAGAGCCTGAGGCATCTAGGAATCTGGAGGTGGTTCATGCTTTCAGTACTTGAGTGATTTATATCAGGTTGGCGTGCTTGGGTCAAGGAGTACGTTTTTCTGGTTTTGTGGGCTGTATGTCCTTTGTCCTGGGTACTCAATACACTCAGTTGTAATCTAAAGGCACTTACAACAATTCAGGAAAGACTACAGCGGGTGTGTGGTGGCAAACACCATAATCCCAGCACTCTGGGAGGCTGAAGCAAGACCGTCAAAGTTAGAGCCCAGCCTGGGCAGTGAGGGACTTGGTGAGACCCTGTCTCAAAGCAGAAACAAAAGGCTGGAGCTGCTGCTTACTCAGAAGCCCTGGCTCCGATCACAAAAAATAAAATACATACATTAATTTGTAGCTCTGTTCTCATAAAACAGGAAGTACACTGACTTTGGGATGTAAGAGCATCACTTGCTTGTTTATGTTGTAAGATTCTGTTGATAAGTTCAGCTGTTGTGTTCTGATAAATATTATTATACTGGAGTGTTGCTAAGTCATAGACCTTAAATTGAATAGACCTAGATTGTGTGTTACTTTAGTAAATGTGCTTATTATTTACCTATTGCTAGACATTGGGTCATTGTTTCTGGATTGTCTTTCTTATAAAAATCAGTAGTTTGAATACAATTTTCAGAAATAGCGGTTAAGTAGCAAATTGCATATTCTATGTTACTATGAAAAAATTAAAGTAGTGCCATTTATTGTAGCTCTGAGTTTAGATTGCTTTCCAGTGATTGGATCTTCTGTCCCACCACATTGCTTATGCCAAGGGCAATAGAGTAGAGCGTCCTCAGGGTCTTCCTCCTCCACAGCGCAGCTGGCTGAGTGGCCACCATGAAAGAGTTTTCATTGGAAATGAAACCCGTTTGTCATGCTGGTTTCATGTTTTAGAAAAACAAGTGTTTTTCTTAGAAAATGCCTATTCTAAGGGGTATGTAAATGTATTATATTATGACTGTTCATATATTTATTGTGAATGCTAGATGATGAAATTCTGTAATTAAACTTCGGGAAGATTAAGTATTTCTCTTTATCTTGGAGCTTCTTTCTGAATCCTGGGAACTTAAACTGTTTCATTTTATAATGAATATTACAAGACTTTTAGGACTTACGTAGATGTTTCACCATTTATGCTTCACCGGCCTGCAGAAATCTAGCACTTAGTTATTCAGAAAAAGTTACAAACCTCAGCACCTCAGAATTTGAAGATCCCTGAAAAGATCACTGAGGAATTTAACATTAAAGATTTAATTTCCTTATCACAGTCAGATGAAAGAGAAGACAGTGGTTAAAGAACTCATTTAAGTGACAAGAAAATTCAAAAAGCCACAGAGAAAGAAAAGTCTTCTGTGTCAGCAGGCTGGCCTCAGGGTGTCGTGCTGAGCTGCTCCAAGTGCTGATGAGGGAAGAGAAAAGTGTGGCCCACTTTTAATCCGAGCAATTTAAAATGACTTTTAATTGCTTTAAGAGCTAATGATCTGTCAGCATTTGAAGCCATTTGTCTTTGATCCTTTCCTGAGTCTCCCCTTGACAAATCTTGTTTGTTTCTGCGCCCCCCTCTCGCCCAGCTCCTGTCCTTCCAGTTCACGTTCTTAACTCTTTTGCCAGCACACAGTCCTCTGAACCCGTCTCGTACCTGCGGTACCTGTCCTCGGCTCCCTCTCATCCGCTTTTCCTACTGTTTCCCTCCCACGGGTTTTAGGTAGCATGTCAGTGTTTACGTACTGTGTCAGTTTTAACTTTCCAGTACTTTTCTGAGCCATAATACATGAAACAAGTAGTTTTATGTTTTTTTGGTTTTTTTTTTTTTTCCAGTCTGAGAATAAAGTACTGGAAGCTACCAAGAATAATGTTGTTCAGCCAGTTTCTGAAGAAGGAAGAAAATCGAAGACCAAACCAGGTAGATATAGAGGTACTACGAATTCAGTAGGTTGTTCCAGATCTCCTGTGTAGAAACTAAGGCCCACCAAAGAAAGCCTTGTGCCTTAACAGTTGATCACAGAGTACCCTGGCTTCATCTCTGTGCTTAGAGTGCCCAGCTTCTATCAGAGGAAAATTGAATGAGTAAGGTGGTTTCGAAGTCATGTTTTTCCTTTGTGACTTAGGTGTTCTGAAAGAACCACCCTTGTTAATCGCGGAGTAGAAGCTGTGTGTCTGCCTCGTGTGTGTGTGTGTGTGTGTGTGTGTGTGTGTGTGTGTGTGTGTGGTCAAGTCCTGCTAGGAGGGAGCGCGACCCCATCCAGCCGCCTGACTGTGTGCTGTCTTTGCAGACAAGCAGCTCATCCAGTACACGGCATTCCCCCTGCTGGCCTTCCTCGATGGGAACCCCGCATCCGCCGTGGAGCAGGGGAGCATGACAGGCCCGGCAGAGGCTGTGTCCTCTGCAGATAAACCCATAGAAGTGGATGAGCTCTTGGAGAGCAGCCTGGACCAGGAACCAACCCAGAGTAAGCTCGTGCGCTTGGAGCCATTGACTGAGGCGGAAGCCAGCGAGGCCACCCTGTTCTATTTATGTGAACTGGCTCCGGCGCCGCTGGATAGTGACATGCCCCTCCTAGATAGTTAAATCCCCAGGACTCGGACTCAGTGTGTATATATTCATCAAAATGATGAACTATTTATTTTAAAGTATCATTTGGTACTTTTTTTGTAAGTTGCTTTGTTTTGTTCTAATCAAATACTGTGGAATAAAAGCACCTTTTGCTTTTCTCACCGCACATTTTTGCGAGCTTTCAGGTGTTACTCAGCTGCCCAGGTATAGTTTCATGCACACTCTTGGTGTATTTTTCAGTTGTTCAAATTCCAGTTTTTTTCCAGTTGCAGTAATTTGGATTTATTTTTTACCAATGTGACCATTAGCCCAGTTAAACTTTGGTTGCTTTACTTGTTCCATGCTGTCTGTGTTCAAGTGTAAGTCACTAAACTAATCGAGCTCTCTCTTTTACCTTCATTAAATATTGCCCCTTGGCTTATTTTAAAAACTGGAAACATAAAGTGCCTGTATCTTGTAAAACTTTGATTTGTTTCAATCCAGAGAAGTTCATTTATGTTCAGAGAAGCTCATCCATGGCTGCAGGTAGGGCGGTCTGCACAGCGCCCTCCCTGGCAGCCTCGCCCAGCTCCTTGGGAGCCAGCGTGGGCCCGGCCGGTGGAGCCACCCCAGCCGCAGAGGCGGCTTGTGTTCAGTGAAGTTTCTGGTTTGTGTTTTTTTGAACCACACTATTTAGTAAAATAAATATAACGGACGTTGAGTACTACTGTTTGTGACATGTCTTTTTTGGAGGTGGTACCACACAAATCAGTTTTTCTTAGAAGAAAGTGGCTTTCAGCTCTCTGTTATCCATTGCTGTCTCAGTGTGAGTTGCACAAGGTCTTTGTGCATTATCTGAAGAAACAGGCTGCATACCACAGCAGTGGGAGAAATGTGTCTAAATGGCATGTGTTTCAAAGTGGTGCTTTATTTAAAGACTATACTGGTTTTTGGTGTTTATAATAAAGACCTGAGAGAACGATGCCTCTCATTGTTGCAAGTAAGAACGTTGTCACTGGATGCCACCAGAGCCCATAGCTTTTACCCTGAACAAGGGTGTAAGAAACAATGACGTGAGAGAATCGATGAAGTTGTCTCCCAGCTTTGGAGCAGCTGACCCCAAGAACTATAGAGCCTTAGGGCTACGGCGCTGTCAGGGGAGAGTCCCCTCTTCAGTCCGCTGGAGCCCTGCTGCAGAGCTACTGAGGGGGAGAGGCCAGGATGGCCTTTGGGTTGGCCATCTGGGATCTCTCTCAAGGTCTTGGAATTTTCCCTCTGTGATGTTAAGATTCAAAAGAAGAGCTAGTCTGACAAGGCTGTGGGTTCAAGGCTCAGCACAGAGGCCAAGTATTTTAGATCCTGACCTAGGAAAAGAGAGATCTGAGTGACCGGGACCCTGGATTTCAGCACACGCTTAAGAGGTCACTTTCCTAAAGGTTGTTACAATGAGAAAGCTCAGAACAAGAGAGGAAATGGAAGATAGCTTTCGTCTTTCCCTCCCCTTTCTCACTGTGGAATATAATCAGTTTTATTTTCTTTGAGGACATTTTGGAGCTCTGAAACACTCTAGAAAATTGGAAAAACTGCTGCTACTTTAAAATACAGTAGTTGTATGCTTTTAAAAAATATATCTAAAAATCAAAATACTGATAATTTGTATCATAATTCGATTTCCCCCAAAGAATCATCCCACTTTCATTGTAAGTTATATATTAATGATATTGTCATAGTCCTGAGGCTAAATGAGATTTCTAGGTTTAAAACCCACCTATATTTTAAATACACATGATCATCAGTATGAATATAACACACACACACATCCTGCACTGGCTTAATATGACCAGTGGTACAGGCTGCCAAATATAAGTGAACCTTTTTATTAATAAAATTAAGAAAAAGTCCATGAACGGACCAAGTTAGTTATATGAATTGGAATTGCTTCCCAGGTATAAAAATGAGTATCATTCATACCAATTAAAATTAAAAAACTTACATTCATGAATACTTTGTCAATAATTCTGTAAATTTTAACATGGAAATTTTACAAATACCCACTGATGGTATGTAGAAAATGCCTTTACAGCTGTACCACAAATTTAGCTGTATCACAAGTGTTTGTCATTTTGTAAGTTTTAAGGTTTTCCCTAAGGAACTGTAATATGATGACAAGGTCTGCCGGATCAATACTTTTGCATTATTGTAGGCAAAGGCCCCTTGAGACCTGGTGTGAGTCATGCAGTGGGGCAGGCCTGCACATAACCACCAGCGAGCGGTTCAAGCGGGCCAGAACCAACAAGTTCCAGTCCGAGCCACCAGGCAGCAAGATGCAGGAATATAGCAATTACAGTCTTGTTCGTTGAAATGAATGGTAGCTCCTAAGGATGCACTTGAGACAGACTTGGCTTCTTGAGTCAGGGAGGCGCGGACACAGGCAGCGGGGAGACACTCATGTGCTGCCTCTAAGTTACCGGAGGTTGATCTGTTATAGTGTTTAGTGTTCACTGATACCCATAGTCTAAAGAGTAAGAATTTATCAGAAATACAACTTTATTAAATCAACAGTTCTTTGGTTTTCATTATAAAGGTAGGTATGGAGCATCAATTTATTCCTAAGAAATGTCATCATTAATAGAAGTTGATGAGAAGGTAGGGCATTTTGTTACAGAAGTGCTACTCAGTTCTTGGAATTTCACTGTAAGATTATTTTTATGGCTGGGGGTTTAGCTCAGCAGTATAAGTACCTGCCTGGCAAGCACAAGGTTCAGAGATCGATCCCTGTTACCAAAAATAACAACAAAAAGATTATTTTTATGCTGTTACCAGCAGGTAATGCAATCAGATCAGTTGTTTGTTGAAAACAGATTTAAAAAAAAAAAAAAAAAAACCCCAGCGTCAGTTTGTTCCTCCACAGTAATTTTAAATATTCACCTACTGGGAACGGAGTTTTTTCAAAAGCTTGCTAAGATCTAGAGCGGGCAGGAAGTGTGTGCACCCTTGTCTCGAAGTGGAAGGAGTCACTGTTAAAAGGATGAGACTTTGTATTGAAATTCTTGTCAAGCAAATTAGCTCCCGGTGCACATGAGGACAGATGAAAATGAGATTTTAATATATAGTGAAATTCTTCTAAAAATGCAGTTTATCAGAGGAAAGTACTGAAAATCCGCTAAGAGCAAGCAAGACAAAGAGAATACAAACAACTAGAATGAAAAAATGAGTTTTGTTGAAGTTTATTAGATATTGTGAAAAATACATTTCAAAGTGAGGCACGTTATTTTGCTTAATAAAAACACGCAGTCCTGTAACTGCTATGCTAAATCTTACCAATAGTGAAAATTCTAAAGGTAGTTTCCCCAGTAAGTTCCACTGGTGTGTCCATGTGAAATTAATATGGTAATAGCAATGCACCTATGCTCATGTATGTTTACATATAAGTGAAATAAATGCAAAAATGGTGCAAGGACAGAGGAAACTTAAGGTCATTACACTAGTATATGGTACTCATTTACTTGTGAAGTATGTACCGTCTGAGAATGGGGTTTAATTAGTTGGACAACCATTAAGTTCAAAAAGGAAGGAAAGTGGAATCGTGTAAAATGGCTCATTAAGCCTGGGCATCATGGAACATGCCTATAATCCCAGCACTGAGGAGGCTGAGGCAGGAAAATCACAGTGCTTTGAGGCCAGGCTAGGCTACATCAACAGTTGAAAGTCAGCCTGAACTATACCAAGAGCCTGTCAAAGAAAGAAAAGGCCCAATTAAATTGATAAAAAGAAAAATAACGGAAGACAAAAATAGAACAAGAGCTACATGTAAACAGTAGTAGTGTTGTACGTATTATCAGTAACAACTTTGAATGTCAGTGAGCTAAATGCACCAATTAAGAGTTTGTCAGAGTGGATTGAAAAACAAGACCCAGCTATTTATGTTTACAGGAAACCCACTTTCAGTGGAGGGAGACAAATACTCTGGCAACCAATTAAAGGAGGAGTTGCCTTATTATTTTCTGGGACAGCGGACTACAGACCCAGGATTTCCATCAGGTACTACATAACCATCCTAATCCAAAGGTATGTAAGAAAAGAGTATCATCACCTGAGGCAGAAACTAAGGAACTCAGGGAGCAGTAGATGAATCTAGTATTCTAGTTGGAGACTTCATTCCCCTACAGAAGTGGAGGCATCCTGCAGACGAAATCCTTGAGGACATTGATTGAATAGGCCTAACACATGCATACCTAAAGACAAAGCTTCATCTGATAATAGGACACATGTTCAAGGCCACACAGACATTCACCTTAGCCATGGGTTATTAAAATGTCTTAGAAGACTGAAATGTTAAAATCTTAAAGATACACATTTCTCAATAATCTGAAGAAAATATCACCAAAATTTTGAAAGTTATTTTTAAGTAAATGAAATAGATTGATTAAAATTAGTGGGGGTATAGTGAAAGCAAGTCACACAGTATTGTGTGTTTGTAGCACTGAGTGCACATCTGAATGGTACAAGTCTAGGAAAAGGAAATGAAACCCAAAACAAAAGAAACAGCAGAAGTCAAACTAAAAACTGATCTTTGAAAGCAAAGTTGAACCCTCTTGACAGCTAAGAGAAAATGACACAATTAGTGATACCCGAGAGGACATGGCTTCAGATCTTGTGGGAGTTTACAGGAGTAAAAACGGCAAATCATGAACAAATGTGTTCCCCCTGATGAAAGAAACCAAGTTCTTTGTGAACTAGACAGGCCTGTATCGTATTTTGAAAGCTGAACCAGTATTGACTTTTAAATATCAGTTCCCATGTGACTTCACATACAGATTCTAGCAAACATTTAAGAATCTGTTAGTTCTCTGGTCCTTTTGTGATGTTCCTAATTCAGTGAGGTCATCTTCACCCTAATATCAGAGTCATACAAATATCCCACATGACAACTACCTCAGAAGCATAGATGTAGAAAATTGTCAACTAAACATTAAATGGAATCCAAAAATACATGAAAATCTACACAGGACAGGTTTGTTGCAGGTATGTCAGGCTAGTTCAGTATTTGAAAATCACTATCACGTCAGGAGACTAAAGAACAGTAGAGCCCACATACCAATACATGTAGGAGAGGGTTTTTTAGCAATGGGGGGAACTTTCTCAGCTTAAATTTCTCAGTTATCTACAAAAAATGAGGACAACCAGCCTACAGCTAAATATTTACTAATGAGCAATTAGCTTTTCCACCAAGATCAACAGCAAGGTGAAAGACACTCTTCACACTGTCCCTTTGCAACATCACCACAGAAGTCACAGCTAATGCAGTGATGTGGGATTTAGCTCAGCGGTGTAAGTGCCTGTCTTGCAAGTGCTTGGTCATGAGTTTGATCCCCACTACCAATTAAAAGAAAAAAGGAGATACACTGATTGGAAGAAGTAAAGTGATTAGCTGATGATACTCATTAAATTAGAGAAAGGTGATAGGATACATTGTTAATATGCAGAAGCAAATTTCTTCCCCTGACAGCAGTGAACAACTGGGACTTGAAACTTAAACCAGTATCATCAATATTAACAACTCCAAAATGAAACATAGATGTACGTGGAAAAGTATAAAACTGATAAATCAAAGAAAGAGCATAACAAATGGTGAATCCATGTCCCCAGGTAAACAGAAAATTTCACAGTGGCAAGTGAGAGTTCTTCCCAGCTTGATAAATACAATTCTCCTTAAAATCCTAGAAGACTTTGTGGACACTGAAAAATAAAGTTCATAGAAGAGGGAAACTACCCAGAACAGCGAACAATTCTGAAAAAAACACTCCTGAAGCCCACTGCCATCCATCCGTTACTCACTAGGCAGCTACTACAGTCAAGACTGTTAACTAGCAAAAGAGTAGACCGTGCAACAAAAATCCCAGAAATTGACCCACGTCAACAATCTCTGACAACAAAGACAATACAATGGAGCAAAGATGGTCTTTCAGCAAATGGTGCTGGACCCACAGGGAACTGGCATGAAAAACACAAATCTAGCATAGTCTACACACTTTAAAAAATTAACTCAAAATGATCACAGACCTAAGTAATAGGCAAGTTGTAAAACTCCTTGAGCAAAACAAGAAAATCTGCATGCCCCTGAATTGGATAATTACTTCCTAAAATGTAACACCAAATATACCATTTATGAGAACAGGTAAGCTGGACAGTCTAGAGAAAAGGCAAAATCAAAAGTTAAATGCAAAAAGAAGTACTAAAGCATGTTATCCGGAGTATACAGAAAAAATTCAAAACTCAACAAGTGATCCGATTTCAAATGGGCAAAGGCCTTCACAGACACATCAGCAATCATGTACATATGGCAAACACGTAAGAAAATACCTACATCGTGTCACCAAGGAAATGCAAATTAAATCAGTGAGATCCAAACATGTTTCTATTAGAATGGCTCAGATCTAGAACACTGAACAGTGCAGCGAGGTTGTAGTGAAATGGCTTCTCTCGTTGGTGTTCAAGGGAAATGGTGCGGACTTTTTGAAAGCCTGGCAGTTTCTTACAAATACACTCGACCACTCATCTAGCAACTGTCTTACGATTACCCAGAGAGGGTGCAGACAGCCCATGCGGAAGCCTGCGCATGCGCGTTTCCAGCAGTTTCCTCGGCTGTCCACGTGACGGTGAGTGGACAGATGGTCTGTTCAGGCAAGGCAGGAGTCATCATCTAAAATGGAATGAGCCATGCAGACAGGAAATTGGGTGTTTATCAGCAATGAAGCCAGCCAGTCTGAAAAGGCTGCCTACTGTGTGATCCAGTCACATACGGGCATTGTGACACAGGTGACAGGAGGAAGGCCAAAGGCCAGGAGTTGCTGCCAAGCCAGCAGGAGGAAGGGTGCACGCGCGGCGCAGGACTCGGGCAGCGAAAGCGTTCTGTATGTTAGGGAGACAGACGTCCTCATATACCACCAACAGGGACTTGTATGGAAACTTCAGACTCTTGGATGAGAACAATTCATCAAAGTACACTCGTAAATTGACATGAGGGACGTTAAAAAGAGAAACATAAATCCGGGAAATAATTCAATCTGGCTGCAATCCTGAATTACTCAAAGTGTTTTGGGGCAGGAAGGAGGGAGAGTAAAGCATGCCGACCCCGGGATTCCCGATCCCAGGTGACCTCTCATCCGTCTCTCCTGTAGTGACAGGAATACTGTTTAAGCGGAATGACACCTGATCTTTGGGACTGGCTCTTAACTAGTATTCCACGGCATACATGCGCCGGTATCAAACCCCTCTCCCCCAAGGCCACGTGGGTTATTTCTAATTCTGGCTCCTACAGATAAAGTCATGAACATTTAGGTGTAAAACTCAGGTCACTTTACAATTTTTTAAATTCTCAGGACTCAGGATCACGGCAACAGAATTACTGAGTAAAATGGACGGAAGCTTGCTCACCAGTAATCTGAGTTTTGGTACTGGAGACTGACACGAGGACCTCTGTACAAAGCTCCATCGGGCCCTCGGGTTCCCAGCCAGGGGATCTCACCAAACCGCTATGCTGACAGGACTGGGCTCGAAGTCCTCAGACGCTGCATCAGGTAGCTCGGGCCATCACTGTCCCCTCCACAGGCACGTGTGGGGGGCTTCCTCTTCAGAGGCACCCCTGACCTGGGCGCTGGAGGAAACATTCGGAGCCAACACCATGTGGGAGATCTTTATGCTCCCCACACCCGGCTGCCCACGTAGGGGCCCACACTTGCGTCCACAATCCAAGGTGCTCTGAGGGTCAGGTGCTGATGCAAAACACCCAGCCCCGTCCAGAGCCAGGTTCCCGTTCACAAAGGAAAGGGAGCTAAATGCTCCCTTTTTATTATTACTTATTAGAGCCCAGGAACTCTACACTGGAGAAGAACACACACCGTGCACTTTTGTCTGAATTCATTTATTCAGAGATCCAACACAGTCATTCAGAACCGTGGAAAGCAATGCACAGGAAGGCTGAAGAATACAGTGAATTGTTATATTCCACTTATAAATATTTTTAAAGAAGCAAATGTAAATTTTAAAGGCTGAATCAGGCACTAATTACATATACAGACAACTAAGTATCTATCTAAATTAATTTTCTTACTGCTTGATTTCTAGGCTGAAAGGATTATGAGAACCTATCTATTTCAATTACATGGCAGCAAACACAAAAGCATTTACACATTGTTTGACTTGTGTAGTGCTCTGTAAACATTTACTCTACGCTAGCCCGACATCCTCCCAGTCCAACATCCTCCCAGTCCAACATCCTCCCAGGCCGGTACAGGCACAAGGCAGCCTCACTGCAGTGAGACAGGGCCCATAGTACCTACTGCTAATGAAGGGAAAACCGATTATCCATGTTACACAGAACAGAAATCCTTTCTTAATGTCTAGAGATTAATGCTACTGTTGGTCATCTTAGGATTTGCTAGCTTTGCCTCGAATTAGCCTCTCAAGTCTCTGCTTTAGTTTCACTTCACTTTTAAATGAAAGAACTGCACTAAATTTTATTTAAGGACCTACTGAAGCCTAGTGTTTTATAGTTTTTTCCTGCCTTGTCAAAATTTTACCACCTTTTGAGTTTCAAAATTAACTTTTAACTTTAAATTAACTTTCAAAGTTTTAACTTTTTTAACCTATAATTGTTCTGTTAAAGCAATGCCTAAATCCTTCAGAGTTCAGAGTTCCTAATCTATCTCCATTACCCTACACTTGTTGCATGGGTTTACAGTGACCACAAAACAAGAGCCATGTAGTTGGGAAAAGTCATTAGTCTACCCAAGGAAGACCAGGATCTCATCGAAGAGTCAACCTATTAATGCCCACTATCAGCAAGCTGAGCTGCTCTGCAGGCTGTGCCTACACTTCCACCACACTGCTGTCTGCAGAGCAAGCACACTACCGACATAGGTGCCTTGCCTTCCTACCAAGGGACAGTCATGATGGACCTACGGGACTTGCAATTTGCCAGAACTGCACCTAGGGGACCTGTTTTTTAGTGTTAGTAAAACCATATTAGGTTCTGGGCAGGTTTCCATAAGGCAGTATTTCAAAAGGCAGCCATACATGTACTTTTATGCTTTCTGAGAGAGTCTGTGTCTAACAAATTTAAAGCCCAGTGTCAAGCAGTTCTTTGTTTACTGTGAATTCACTTGATTCATGTGTGCTTCACAGTTGGCATGCGCAGAGCAGAGGCTACGCACACACCGCCCACTTCTCCTGCTCACCAGCACTCATCAGTCACACGACGCTCTACCTGACACACGGCACACGAGTAATGCACCTGGCAAGAGAACAATGAGTACAACGGCAGCAAGCAGCAAACCTAATCATGCCGGAACAACACTGGAGAAGTTACACGGGAAGCACACACACACACGCACACACAACTGTACAAAAGTTGGTAATACTGCTGATTTCCAATGGGTGATGACGAGCAGAACCTCCAGGCCAGAAGCCTCAGTCAAAGTCACGATTTGTGAGAACGAGTGGCGCCACCAGTGTCCACACGTAGAGCACGATGCCGATCCAGCTGGAGGAGATCTTCACCCACACGGCGGTCCACTGGCTCTTCATCTCCCGTGAGGGCTCGTACCTGAGGGTCAGGGAGAACACGAGGGAAAGACAGCAGGGAGGGGCGATCAGTATGAGAATCAGCATAGCTCGGTGCCAGCAGCACCCGACAGAGCCTGGCCACTGCCCCCCACTGCACATGGATGCAGCTGCGGGGGCCAAGGCAAAATTCAGCCAGGTCCTTTACCGCAGTGCAAAGCATAGGATCCAACTGGTTCTTTCATACAAGACCTGGGCATTCTGCACAGAAATGGAACGTGACCTCTGGATGGATGAGGCTGTCTTATCTGTGAACTCCCCAACCCAAGTAACTGTTAATCACCAACCCATTTCCTTTGCCTTCTGAGAATTAAAAGACTGCCTAGGAAATACAGCAGACTTTTATGTTAAACGTTTTTGATCTAAAACTTACACTTTATGCTGGGTATGCTGGTGCATGACTATAACCCCAGCACTTGGGAGGCGGAGGCAGATCATTGAGAGTTCAAGACCAGCCTGGGCTACAAAGTGAGTTTCAAGGCCAGCCTGAACTGCACAGTGAGACCCTGACTCAAAAAGACAAAAAAAAAGTCTTACCTTCTAATATCTGATAACCAATGCTCTGAATTACTATCTGGATTCTTCTAAGCTTATTAGCATGATCTAGTGAAAAAAATCTAATAAACTGTATTCTTTTCAATAATAATCATCAAAGTTGTTCTCAAGGTAAACAGCAAAGATAATTTTCCTCTTTTGTTAGTATTGAAAGTAATTTCACATACCATTCAAAGGCATCATGCACTTAGAATTATTTAAAATCATACTACCGAAACATACACTTCAATCTGAATCTTAAACAGAACTGTTCTATAATCATTCAGACAGAACCAGTTTTAAAAAAGGAAATTATAAACTGCTTTCTCTTCCCAGAAAAAAATAACATCCATTATTAGATCAATTATCAACATGCACTTCTATAAAGAAATATTGGTTTTATAGTTTTCTGTTAATCTCTTCAACATTCAGAACTGCTCCAATGTTTGTGTTGCTGGTAATGCAAGAAGTCTGCATTTCTCCCCCTGGTCTCACCATTCACGTAGGTAAGCTAGAAACAGCACAGTCCTTCGGCCTGGAAGCACAGCACAGCACAGCAAAGCACAGCAGGGTTACAACAGAACCGCAAAACCCCATCGGAACCCTCCTGCGCAGAGCTGCCTTGCAGTGCGAGTACCTGTACCAGTTGGTCAGGGTCATCATGATGTACAGTGAAGCCAGGAAGAGCATGAAGTGGAAGAAGGAGTAGCTGTACGTGACACCATCCCGCTCGTTATCCACAGCTCGGTGAGCGCTGTCGCCGTCCTCCAGTGACCCCTCACTGCGGGCTCCACTGTCCTCTATCAGTGTTGACTCGTCACTTGTGAGAGTCAGCTTATTAACCTGACTGTTGTTAGAGGTGCGGATGCTGCACAAGAAGCAGAAACACAGAACTATATGGATGAAAAAGCATTCCTGAATCAGCACCTGGCTCCCCACTTAGCATTTTTGTGCAGTTTATATTACCTTGAATAAAACACACACAACAGGAAGAGGATGAGTCCTATGACCCCTTGGGCATGCCACCACTGGACAGGCTGCCCCTCCTTTGGGCTGGAGCTCGTGGTGTTGAAGCCAATGATGCTCAGAAGACTTGGGTTACAATTTGTTTCTGTGAAATAAATTTAAAAGTCAACTTACGATGTTAGGGTAACAAAAAATTTTATATTATAGAACACAGAGTTCTCTTTAACTCGTACCACTAGAAATTCAAAAGTTTTTCAGAAAAAGGCATAAGTACAAAAACAAAATACTTAAGAACAATTTTAAGTTTTATGCTGCAAATATGGAAGTGTCAGAAAAGCTCAATCGTTTAACTTTCAGCTATCTATAAGAACAGAGATGCATGAAATCTGTCAATCAAAAGAACAGAATTCAGGTGACCTCTCTGAATTACTAAAATTATAAAAAAGTCAAAAATAAAATGACGCTTGTTGTAAACTATAATGCACTGGCTTTCTAGCACATACTGTGAGATCACAACACAGACCTCACAAAGTTTATCAGTTTGTCTAAGTGCACTGTTACAACCTGAACATTTATACATCAAACCAACAGCAAATGCTTTGTGAAAATGACCACGAAGGCCTAACAACTATTGATGTTTATGTGATCTTCACTCTTTTGCAAGAATTAAAGGAGGACTGATAAAGTACTGACAAAATGTCATGAATATTCTTCCCACAAAGGCAGATCTGTCAATCTCCACCTAATAAAAAATTAGAAAACTAAAAAGGTTAATTTTTAAAGTAAATTACTAATAAAAGAACACTGTATTTTTTCCTTTAAAAATACAGATTTCTCTTTCCTCAAATAACACATTGTGCCGATTTCTGTTCCCATAGAATGCAATGTAACTGACCTATCCTGCGATTCAAATATTCCATTGCAAGGTAGTCAGACAAAAAAGGTAACTTACTATGAAAAATTACAATATAATACAATCAAAATGATTTTTAGATTTTATGTCTTCCTATGCATAAAACTTAAAAGCACTGAAAGGTATAGGTAGGTATATTTCTTCTAATTTTTATATTATTTTAAATAAACTGCTTAGAATTTTGTTAACAGTATTTCCACACCCTGTTCTTCTAGAAATCTGACTTTTGGGTGGCTTCGTGCCCCCAAATGACTCTCTGAATAAAAGGAAACACAGAGGGCTTAGAACACACCTGGCTCATTGGTCATCGCAGACCATGTCAGGTACATCGTATAGACTGTGATTACTGAAGACTGTAACAAACCAGATCTCGGCTGTGACTCCTACAAGCAAAACAGGAAGCAACACAAATCAATACAGCAGCACTGCTGACGAGGTGTGAGAGCTGAGCAGGCGACGCCATGCGTACCTGGATCCGTGGCAGTATGGACATCACAGAGGCCCCGACGCAGAGCAGCATGTTGACGGTGATGAAGGCCTTATTTTCTGAGCAACCGGCTGGGTGAGTGTAGTAGACAAAGAACAAGACGATGGCGACCAGAGATAGCAGGTAATTCAGAGCTGTGGCCGACAACAAGGCTGCGAAAAGAACGTGACGAGACCTTATTACAAATACTAGGGATGAGGCATGTGGCTTTATTAAAAGAAAAATCTGTCACTGTAGCTAAACATAATTTAAGCAATAGCATTAGGTAGGCCACAAAAGCAGGGGAAAATTAATTTTGAATTCTTTCACTGAAGAATGTTACACAGAGCTCACTACTGTATGTTTGCAAGGCAGGAAGTCAGGAACATGCTACATGATTTTTATCAGCAGGGATATTTATCTTATAGTTAACAAATCACATTCATATATATTAGGTATTACTTTAAAAATAAAACAGGACAGGATTATTACTTGAGGTTTTTAAAAAAAAATTTGGGGGGGGGGGTACCAGGATAGAACTCTTGACCACATGCTAAATCCCCGGCCGCCCTTACTTGAGGTTTTTAAAGAACCATAATCATTGAGTGGTAAATAACAGACAGGATATTGAGAATGTTTCTCCTCACCAAATGCAATGTTACAAAAATATGCACTATGCAAGGGTCACTTCATTATTTACTAAGAAAACCTGAGTCTTCTATGTAAACTTCAACATATGTAACCTGCTGAATCTTTGTGCTAACGTGTGTGGTATGGGAGGATTTCTGTACATTGCCTTATTGATGGGATCCCCCAACTATTTATTGAATGCCTACACTGTATTTCAGGCCTGGGAATACAGCATAGAATAAAAGACAGAAACCTCATATTAGACCTTTTCCTATAAATGAGGCTATATAAATAATTTCCAAATGACTAAAGATTATTTCTTTGAGCACCAAACTTACCAGTCATCACAAGCTAATTTTGAGTGTCAGGCTGAAGATTCAATCAATTTGGCATCTCTTGTTTCAATTATTATGTTACTGTTAGCTGAAATCCAGATTATTTTATACAAAAATACAAATTTATAGTTACTTTTGAAGAAAAAAAAATCAAACGATAATGAGTTCAGCTGCCCTGAGCAATAAGGATCACACTCTCCGTTTTGGAGTCCTCACGTCTGCACAAGGGCTGGCAGCACTAGCACCTCCGCCCCTGCTCTCTCTCCTGTTGTCCACTCAGTCCCAGCCACATCTGAACTTCAATCCAGGTTTCTAAGTAGAACACAGGGCACACACTCACCAGTGTAAACAAGTAAATGTTAAGTACACCACCACAGGTGTTCCTGATATACTAGACAGGATTTACAATGGCTTCTAAGCTCTATACTGTGCCTTCTCTTTCTATGTTAACTGTGACATTGTATACTTATTTCTAGCAGTCTTTTCCCCAGTTTCCCTAAGACACTGTGCTATTAAATGCACAAGGTTCCAGAACAGGCTTTGAAATATTTAAGTTAGCTACTCGAGTTCTTTTAGACTCTCTTCTAGTTTGGGGTATATTCCCAGGTAACTGTCCAAAGAGCTTTACCAAGCTGTGGATAAGTAAGACAAACAGGTTACCACGTCAAACTGAAAACCTCTTGGAGGAAATCAAACCCTGAAAACCCCACAGGATGTGCACGATACTGAAGTGCTCTGCGCCATCGGCTCACCTGCATACCAGCATCTCGAGTTCCCTTCCTCCATCTTTTCCACCCACGACTCATTCCAGGAATGGGCAAAGTCAATAAGCAGGACCAGCTGAATGAGGATGAAGCAGAAGGCACCAGCCATGCCCACGTAGAACCACACTGAGGGCACATGGGAGAGCGCTCGTTACTTTTATTACTCACCTTTCACACAAATTGTCAGTAAACAAAAAGGGAAATAACATTTTACATAAATGTCTCGATTTCTAACCAGGGACAAAAGAAAACACAAACAAAACAAAATAAACAGTTACAACTCCAGGTAAAGCACTCAGTTTCTTTTAAAAAACGTAACACACAATTGTTTCTCACCTGTTGTAAATGTTCCTTCTGGAATGAAGAATGCCCCCACAATAATTGCAATTGCTGCAGCAAATTTAAAGAACCAAAACCTAAAACAAATGCAATTTCTATTAATAAACATTCATTTGCCAAATAATTCTATATATGAAAATTTTCAAGAGCACCTTGAAGAATGGCTACACTTTCTGCAACTATTCTTTCTTAGGGTCCCCTCAAAATCAGAAGATAGTTTTGAGAAAGCTGTTATTTATCACTAATGCAAGTGAGAATACTGGTTCCACTTCACAGGTTTATTTTATCTAGTATGTAAAAGTTTAAAATGCACTGTGTAAGGAACAGTTTTACTAATACATGACAAATGCCTCCATCCAAAACAGAATTTTAAACAATCAAATACTAAAACAATAAAAATAAATCTGTCACATCACAATTCCGCATCAATACTAATATCTCCTTTGTTTTTCTTCCTATGTTTGGCAGCACATGCTACCAGATGAGCAACAGCAGATATATACAAAAAATACAATTCTAACATTTCAAGTACGGATGTGGTGCTCTATATTAAACAACTGCACACTAATATTTCCTTCTTGGCTGTCCAGAACAATCACTTAGAAAATCAATACAAGGTTCAGAATTGTTCCCCAACTCTGTACTATTTTATGTCCAAAAAACTCAGAGTTCCATGGATGAGGCCAGTCCAACAAAACTAAAAGACAGGAAGGGCTCCACTTGTCCAAGAAGTCACAGGTGCGCAGAGCCATTTTTAAGAACCAAACACTGTAAATCAGAGGTCATCCCATCAATGATCCAAAGCTATCAGTGACATTCTTAAGTCTGATGTTCCCAAGTTGAAACAGAATTTTCTTACCTTTTCCATGAATAAACTTGTGCAAATAAATTCTGTTTATTTTGCTTTACAGCTTCTAAGCTAGATTCAGAGCTGCTTAGAAGACACAGGTGGATTCTGAGGCTTACTGCAACACTTACCCATTGTGCACGGCAGCTCTGGGGTCGCTGCTGCTCTTCACCTTGATCATGAGCAGAGACAGGAGGAGGTAGAACATGGCCAAGCCAAAGCACAAGCGATACACAGCTTTGTAGCCCACCAGAATACTACAGGGAACAACTCCTTTCTCATTCTCACAGAATCCAGGGATCTGGGAAACAAAGCAAGCTTGTGATCCTATTTTTGTCACTAAAAGGCAAATTATGTAAATAATTTTAGGCAAGAGCCTGAAAAACTGAAGTTTGCCTAATAGTTTACAATGAATATATAATCAAAATAAACTATACTTTAATGAGATAAAAGAAAGTAGTTAAAACTCTCATGTGAGCAAACTTGAATTCTGAAGTGGAGGCTTCTTTGGAGTTGCAGATTTATTGTGTATCTTTAAAACTTACATTCAGATGTGATACACTGAATTGCATATACGAGGGATAAACATCAGTGTGAGCCTAAAGAACCACAAAGTAACTGGTGTGTCTAGGAACTAAAGAGATTAGCATACTATTTGCAAAGGCAATGCCACTTCAAGTTTGCACTCACTCTACACATGAAAGGATCTGACTCAACAGTAAGTAAACCAGCAGTTTTATATTTTAATTTAGAATCTCAAAAAAGACAAATGACCACTTTAGAAGTCAACTCTAAGGGGCTGGGGCTGAGAGTTTGCCTAATATGCACAAGGCCCTGGGTTGTGATCAGTGTAAAAAGGAATTTTTAATTGAAACAGTAGGAGTATTGTTTAGAACCACAGATATTTATGCTGATCTGTGAAAACAAGTACTTTCTTCCCACTCTCCCAGCCCAATACAACTGAAAAACACCTGCTTTTTCAGTACCCTAGGTGTGCACAAGCTGTCAGTGCAAAGACTGCTTATAGCCTTCTCCTTCCTTAACACACACACAGTCCTGTCAGCATGGAAATTATTTCTTAAAGGTAAATGCTCAAAGAATTTTAAAGTATTACAGTAAAAGACACATATTGCCACCAACTCCCCTCCAAATACCACACAAAACTGATAGTTTCAGAGAAATTCTGAAGCAGGTCTGGAAGCCGTCTTTCTTGAGGGACTTCAGATGGGATTGTCGTGGCTGCCCCAAGTCCCTAAATGCATTCTGAACACTTACGGAAATTCCTACCAAATGAAAAAATTGTGATGTATCATAATCCACTTTTACCACTGAATCTGACACCGTGTGACTTCTGACTCCTTTCCAAAGCCAAAATGACCATGAAAGATCAAAGTTTAAAGCAGTTCAGGACACTGAGGCCACCGCCACAGTACAATCAAGGACACTTACAAGACAACTGCTTCAAAAAGTGGCCACAACAGTGGAGCAGGTTTGTTTCAAGCAAAGGGAAGAGAGTTGTGTGTGTGTGTATGTAAATATATTTTTACCTTCTTTCTTTTCTCCTTTCCCCCATTCCAGTTTCTCTTTCCTTTTCAGCAGTTTCTTTCCCTTTCACTTTTGCAATATCTATTGTACACTCTGGATCTTATTTACTCTTTCAGTTTCTCACACTAGGGACATAATATAATGTTCACACGAGTCTGATTTATTTCACTTGTGAGTATGGTCTCAAGTTGCATCCATTTATCTCTAAAAGCCTTGAGTTTATCCTTATTTATAGCAGAGCAATACTCTATTGCATAAAGATACATCTTTTTTTATCCATTCTGCAGCTGATGGGCACCTGGGTTATTTCCAAGATTTATCTATTATAAATTGTGCTGCTATAATCATGAGCGCACATATATCACTGTGGTACCAAGTTTTTAATTCTGCTGGGAAGATACCGAGAAGGAGAACAACTGGATGGAATAGAACCTCTAGTCCTAGTTTTTTGAGGAATTTCCACACTGATTTCCACAGTGGTTGTACCAGTCTACACTCCCACCAACAGTGGAGAAGGGTTCCTTTCTCCCACAGCCCACCGAGCATTTGTTACTGGTTGATTTCTTGATGACAGTCATTCTTTCTAGAAGAATGAGATGGAATCTCACTGTTGTTTTAATTTGCATTTCTCAAATGACCAATGATTTTGAACTTTTTTTCAGAGATTTGCCATTTGTATATCTTAATCTGAGAAGTGTGCATTCACCTCCGATACTCACTTCTGGATTAGGTCTTTGAATTGTTGGGGCCTGATTTTAATTCTTTGTGCTGTCTGAGGGACAGTTGGCCAAAATTTTTTCCCCATTCTCTAGGTTGTCTTTTCACTCTGTTGGTGATTTCATTTGATACACAAAAACTTTTTAAGATAAAAGCCCAGTTTCTGATTCTTTGACTTGCCGTGCAGTTTGGTTTTTTGTTCACATATTCACTACCTACTATATCTTCAAGCTTTCCACCTACTTTCTCTTCCAGTGGATTGTTTGTTTTAAAATTTAGGTCTTTGATACATTTTAACTTTAGTGCACGGTGATAGACATGGGTCTAGTTTTAGTTGTTGGCATGCGGAGAATCAGTTTTTCCAGCACCATTAAACAAACAGGCTATCTTTCTTCCAATGAACAAGTCTGGCCCCTTCATCAATGATAAGGTAGATAGAGTGTGTGTAGTTGTGTCTGCATTTCCTAATCTGTTTCACTGATCCTCAAGTGTTTTGTTTTTTTGCCACTACCACACTGATTTTTATCACAGTAGCTTAGTCACAGATTGTGATGCTTCTTGCGCTGCCTTTTTTGCCAAGGATTTTGTGCTCTTCTAGATCTCTTCAGTTTTCAAATTTTAGGAATGTTTTGTCTAATTCTATGAGGTATGCTAGTGGGTATTTCAATTTAGATCGCTTAAATCTGTATTATAATTTTGGAAGTATGGCTATTTTCACTGCTGGTTCTTCCCATCCATGAGCAACGGTTATTGATATCTCCTTCAATTTCCTTTTCAGAATACTGTTAATTTTCAATATACAGATATTTCTTTTGTTAAAACTCCTAAGTATTTCATTTTGGGGGATACTATTGTGAAGGAATTTTTTACCTAATTTCTCTCTCAATGAGTTTGTATACAAGAATACCATAGCTTTTTGAGTGCTGAGTTTGTATCCAATTATGATGCTGAATTTGCTTATTAACTCTAGTCTTGTGGTAGAGTTTTTGGGGTCTTCTATGTAGATTAACATGTCATCTGCAAATAACAATTTAATTTCTTCATTTCCTATCCTTATTTGTCTTAATTGCTCTAGCTAATGTTTGCAGACCTATATTGAATAGGAAAGGAGACAGAGGACATCTTGTCTTGTTCTTGATTTTAGCATGAAAGCTTTCAGTTTTTGTCCTACTACTATGATGCTGGCTGTTGGTTCATCAGAGGAGGTAAAGACCATCTATTCTAGTTTTCTCAAGGTTTTTTTTTTTTAATCATGAATGAATGTTGGATTTTATCAAAAGCTTTTTCTGCATCTACAGAGATGATGATGTGACTTTTGTTTTTGGTTGTTGATATGGTGTACTATATTTACTTAGAATTCCACTTGATTATGGCATATAATCTTGATGATTTGCTGAATTCTGTTTGCTTGTATTTTATTGAGTATTTCTGCATCTCTGTTCAGTAGAGATATGGCTTGTAGTTCCTTTTTGGTTCAGTGTTTCTCTGCTTTGAGTTATTAAGAGTAATACTTGCCCCCAGGAATACATTTGGGAGAATTACTTCTCTTTAAATTTCATTAAACAGTTTGAGGAGTACTGGTGTTAAACCTCCTAAATTTCTTACAGAATTCAGTAGTGAATCCATCAAGACCTCGGCAAAGTTTTTAATTACAATTTCAATTTCATTAACTGATATTGGGTTATTCATAATTTTTAATGTTTTTGATTCAGTTTTGGTGATATGTCTCTCAAGGAATTTGTCCTTTTCCTGTGTTTTCTAGCCTACGTGTGTAAAGATTTTTGAAGTAGGTATTGAGGATCTTCTGAATTTCCACAGACTCTGTACTAATTTCACCCTTTTCATCCCTCACTGTATAAATTTGAGTTTTTTCTATTTCTTGATAAGGTTGGCTAGGGGTTTATCTATTATTTATTCATTTAAAGAACCAACTCTGATTCATTAATTCTTTACTGTTATCTAATCAAATGCATTAATTTCCTTGCTGATCTTTATAATTTCTTCCCACCTATGAGTTTTAGGCTTGACTTGCTCTTTTTTTTAGAAGCTTAAGGTACAGCATTAGGTTATTTATGCTCATTCTATATTTCCTGATGTGAGAATTCACTGCTATAAATTTCCCTTAGGACTACTTTCATTACATCCCACAGATTTTATATGTATTTGCATTTTCATTTGACTGTAGATACTGTTTAATTTTTTCTTTAATTTCACCTGTGACTCACTGGTTGTTCAGGAGGGTGTTACTTAATTTTCTTGTGTCTATGGAGTTTCTGCAGTTTCTTTTGCCATTGATTTTCCAATTTCATTGTACTATGGTCAGATAACGTGCATAGGATAATTTCAATTCCTCTGCATTTACTTAAACATGTTCTATGGGCTGGACTACGGTCTATTTTAGAAAATGTCCCATGTGCAGCTAAGAATGTGTGTTCTCATGTTGTTGAGTATAACACTCTTTAAATGTCTAATAAGTACATTTGTTCACATGCCTGATTCAGTTCTGTTATTTCTTTGCTGACCTTTTATCTAGTTATCTCTTTGTAAGAATGGAGTATCAAGGTCCCTGTTAAACTGTGTTATTGCTTATGTATAGTTGAGTGTTCCCATATTTGCTGCATATATATTTATGATCTCTTCCTCTTGAATTTCCTCCCTGACCTTATCTTTTTGAATTATTTTTGGTTTGAAGTTCACATTGTCTGCAAAAAGAATAGCTACCACTGCTTTTTTCTGGGTTCCTGTTGAAGTATTGTTTTCATCCTTTGATTCTCTGTCTGAGTTTTTTAGTTAAATGTATTTCTTGCACACAGTATACTGTTGAATCTTCTTGCCTGATCCACTATAAATCTGTTTCTTTTGAATGGTCAGTTAGGGCTGTTTACATTGATGGTTATAACTGATTAGGTACTGACTTACCTTTGTCATGTTGTTTTCCTGTTTTTGGTTCCCTTCTTTCCCTCTTTGTTTAATTGCTTGCCCTGCCTGGTGGTTTCTAGTGTCGGTCTTGAAATTGTGGTCATTTTTATCTCTATCTAGAATATCTTTTGACACTCTTTCTAAGATTGGTTTGGTAGTCATTAATTTCATCAGTTCTTGTTTGTCATGGAAGTATCTTATTTCTCCATTAACTCTGAAAGATAATTTTGCAGGTAGATCAATCTGGGTTGGAAGTTGTTTTCTTTCAGCATTTGAAATACTTCGCTCCAGCTCTTTCTGAGTTGAGGGGTTTGTGTTGAGAAGCTGGCCATGATTCTAATGTGCTTTCCTTTATAAGTGATGTTTCTTTTCTCTGACAGCTTTTTTTTTTTTGGATGAACCTCATGACCTTCGTGCTTGCCAGGAGGGGCTTATGCTGCTGAATTAAATCCCTGGTGGCTGACAAGTTTTCTTGTTTTTGTGCTGAATTTCTGGGATCTTGATTATTATGTGTTCATGTGTAGATTTATTTTGGTTATGGCTGTTTGGAGTTCTATATGCCTCAGTTATCTGTAAGTCAGATTGTTCCCCTGTCTGGGAAATTTTCTGCTATTACTTTTACTAATAGTTTTTTTAAGTCATTTATATTGACTCCTGCCTTTTCATTGACATGCATCAGTTTTATACCGTTTTTCTTTGCATCATCTTGGAGCTGTTGTTATTTCATGTTCCCTTGTTATTTTTAAGAGATCTTTCATTTTATGATTGCTAGCCATGATCCTGCCTTCAAGGTCTGAAAGACTATCTTCAGTTTCTTTCAAGCCTTTTTGCCAACTTTTAAAGGAAGTTTCAATTTCCTGAATATTTCTTTGAATCTATTTCATGCATTCTATTTCTTTTCTGAACTGTTCATTGAAGGTTTCCATAATTTTCCTACACTCCTTTATGTTTTTTAGCTGTCTTCTCTAGCTATGCTAAGAATTCCTCAATTAACATCATTTCTTTCTTTACCTGACAGATTTCTGATCTAATTTCTTCTATAGGATCATGTATTTGTTTCTTTTCTTGTTATCTTTTCAGAAATTCCACGTGCGTGCCTTCCAATTTATTCTATGTCTATGTTCCTTGTACTTGTTTTGGAACAGTTAGATTATCTGAAATTGCATTTTGCTTTCTCATCTTGTCATTTTCACCTCTTGGTTTATATTTTAGTCTTTTCAATCTCGCTAGTCTCACCTGGGTATCATGTGCATCTTAGTCAGGGTCCTGCTGTAGGGCTGGCATTCACCCAGTTGCCAGATCCCACAGTGTAGGGGAGGAGCCAGTCACCTGAATTCCTCTTGTGAGGCCAGCTGGTGAGTCCTGGATTCTTCCTGGGAAGATTAGACTAGGAGTACTGCTGTGACCCCAATCACTGGTTCATATTATTATTGCTACTCTAGACTTTCCCAGGCCTTTAGACCCACCTCTGTATGATATACACCCCAGCCAGGGCCCTACTGTATCACTGTGGTTCGTACAGGCTCTCTGTGGTCCTCCAGATAGAGAGGGTTCACCGGTGTTCTTTGCACAGCCACCCAAGGTCCTTCCAGGTGGACCTCTGGATGGACGGAGGGCTCACTCACATTTTGGCAATTACTGAAGTCCTCTAGGTGGATAAAGGGTTCACTTGTGCCCTTGTCGGCCCACCGAGGTACCCCAGATTTGGAGGACTCACTGGCACCATCACTGGCCACCAAGGTGCTCCAGGTTGAGGGAAGGCTCACCTGTGCTCTTGCTGGCCCACAAAAGTCCACTGAGCAGGGGGAGGATTCACCCTTGTTCTCACTGTTCTGTCAAGGTTCTCTAGATGGAGGAAGGGCTTGCCTGCACTCTCACAGGCCCACTGAGGTCTTCTTTGTTGGAGGAGAGCACACCTGCACTCTCACCAATCCAGAGAGGGCACATCCATGATCTCACCTGCCCACGAAGGTCCTCTGAGGTGGGAGAAGGCTCACCCACTTTCACCAGCCTGCTGAGGTCCTCCTGGAAATTCTTCCTGAACTCTGTTCTTTATCACTGCCCCTATAGAAATTCTCCTTTCACTACTATCTTAAGCAGCTTTTGGCAAAGTGCTAGTTCTGCTCTCTATGAACAGCTTCCTTCAGCATGGGATGCCACTGTTCAAGCTTCCATCTATATCCCTGTGAACTTGACTGACTTGAGAGGAAAAACACCTATAAGATCAATTAAGAATCTTTCTGGGTGAGTAAGAGAAGTACAATATTGGGAACTGTACCTGGTCCCTGTCCTCCTGCTCTTGGGTTCCTCCCCTACTCTCCACCTCCAGCATGCCATGAGTTCGGCACTTTTCCTCTAACACACCCTTCCACCATGATGTGTCTGCCTTGAAGCCAGTTTAAACTACAAGCCAACGTAAGAAAGGCTTTCCTCCTTTAAGTGGTATATGGCTGCTATCTTTTCCCAGCAACTGAAAGCTACAATCCCTATTTTCTACTCTCTGCTGGATACATACATCATCATGGACTACCTGTGTATATATGTACCAAAACTTCCTGTTGAAATCCTAACCATCATGGAATAGTAGAATGAGATGGGACCTCTAAGCAGGTAGATAGATCATATGGATAGCATCTACTTGAACAGTGCCCTTATCAGATGAGACAGGAGACAGATGCTTCTTTCTAGGAAGTGAGAATATAAGACATCTATCACTGGAACTCAGCCATGCTGGCACTGTGACCTCAGACTTCCAGCCCTCAGAATCATGAGAAATACATTTATACTATTTAAGCTACATAGTCTATGGTATTTCTGTCACAGCAGCCTGAGCTAGGACATATATACACATTTTTGAATGGAGTACCCCAACTCAGTATCAGAAACTGAATTTATTATGTATTTTCCCATCTCTTTCCACAACCTAATTTCCTGAAAACAATTAAAACAAAACAAAATATAAATATACATTTTTTTTCTAGGTAACAGCAATACTTCCCTTCTAGTTTTCTAGGTTCTGAATCTAGTTGTAAAATATGACTCCATCAATATTTAAAAGACAGTCAAAGTTAATTTTTAAAAAACTATAAAATCTAACTCAGGTTTTCTAACAACCTCCTTAATTGTTTGATCTCTATCCTTTGTTAATACCAGATTAACTTCCTAAAGCACAGATACTCTGCTCAAAAATCTATAATCACTATGCTTAATTTTCAGTACCTACACTCAAATGTTTTACTTATTTTCCCAATGTCCTTTCAAGGAGAAAAAAGTCCCTCTTTTCCAGGACACTGAGATTCTGTCCCCTGTTTAAAATTATTTCTTTCCTCGTGTCACTACACCATCACTACATGTAACAAGCTACCTAGTAGTCTATGTTTCCTAAATGAATAAGAGCTAAATTGGGATTGCATAATATCTTTACTCTCACTGTAATACTCCAAAAAAAAAAAATCAATCTTCTACATATATTACAGTGTCAGTTAATAAAGAAAAAACGATTAACCTTATTCAGCTGTTCTTCCATTCCTGGTATCAACATGACACAAGCAACACATACTCCAATGAACAAGAAGAGTGCGTAGATCAACCTGGTGACTGTGGAGTTGTTCCCACTGGGGCAGCATCGGCACAGCAGACAGGGAGCACTGCCACACAGACATGGGATCTGGGAAAGAATGGGATTCCAATCAGTATATCATCAGATGATACAACAGAGACTTGTTCAAGAAATGGAAAAAAAGGCAAACTAAATTACCAAGGTGTCAATACAGAGTCTCATACATACTACCTACAAACTACAGAATACTTAGTACTTATGGGAAAAGATTAAGCGAAGTCAAAAAAGCACTTCTCTGTAGTAAGCAATACATAAACAACACAGGGAGAGAAACCACCAGTAGCAACCAAAGTTTAGCTAAGAAATGGAAAATTCACAATAGCACAACTGCTAAGCTCATCTCCATCCCCACCTTTTAGCCTGTAGATATAATAATAAAAGTACACACAATTTTGAGAATTCTCAATCCCAGGAAAGGTACAAATAGTGAACTAGCAATCTTTTTTCCTCTGCTACTTTAGTTGTGGTGAAAACAATGACAATGACAACTGCAGTCAGGTAAAAAGGGTAAGTGAAAACCTGGGGCTAGTGTCCTCTGATTAACTCTATAGGAGGGGATGGGGCATGCTCCTGTCCAGGAGAGGTGAACACTGGGACAGGGAGTTAACAGTAAGTATCTCAGAAAGCCAAAGTCTACATATGTCCTTCCCTAAGAGGTGAACAACTTTAACACACTGCCATACTCCAGGAAGCTGGAGGGGCCAAGAGTGGCTGTTCCAATCCCAGAACTATAGCATGAAGGGAAAGCCTTGGATTCTAGAAGTATTATGGAAGACAGACACCATATCACAGATAAAAAGTTAGAACAAAACCACATTACATTAAGCTTCAGTAAGACAGAAATAAATGTCATAATATCTATGCATAACACTTCAGCAAAAATAAAAAACACTCCCTTAAGACAAAAGAAAAAAAAGAAAAGACATTTAAAATGAAAATAACTCAGTAACAAAAAGAAATTTCCTACCAGGGCTTTAAGCAACAGAAAAATAACAAAAAGTGAGCAAAAGAAAACAGAGATTTCAAAAATGACAGCTGAAAATTACTAACAGTGAGTAAGAGTTGCTTAGTATAATTACCTAAAATGAAGTGGCAGTGACCACACTTACCTTCTGCTTTAACCACTGAGAAAAATAAATGAAGCTGGTTCTTCTAACTAAGCAATTCAGTCAGTTACTTCTGAGAGAGGTTAGGGTGAGTCTCAAGGGCCTGTCCTCCTGCCTGGGGAGCACACAATGGCAGGTAGAGTTCAGAAGTTCACTTGACATCACAGAGCTGGGACTTGGGAAATGAAGCAATGTAGAGTTTCTAGGGCAGAATCTTGGAGAGAGCTACCCAGATAGCAAATGTAGCTAAGCACGTATCAGCCCATACATTTGAAAAAAATTACTCAAGGGGACCTTCTTCCTAGCTAGTATCTGGGATTCTACCACCCAGAATAGAAAACTTGTAACATATGGAGCACTGCATAGTGAAATAGCACTGTAGGAAAGTAGTCATAAGATTAAAGATCTCCTTTCACTTTTAAAAAAGCCTAAACATGAACATCAAAATGTATCAGATTTTCATCAAGTAACTCAATTATGTCCAAGAGCAGGGTCCAAGTATATCTCTTCAATTATGTAAGTATATCTACCCCTCAGCAGATTAAAATTTGCACCTGATACCTAACAAAACATTGGTAGGCATGAGAAGCAGGAAAATACAATCCACAGCAAGAATTACTGAGCTCAAACCAACCTGAACTCAACTGAGCTCAAACAAGGGTTCATTTCCAAGTCTTGTAATCTTAACCGACTTCACATGCTTAGAGGAAAACATGAGACAGTACGCCAAGGAAATAGAAAGATAAAAGAAGCATCTCCAACTTTAACAGACAAAAAAAACCTCAATCCCTGTGCCACCAATGAGATAGAATAGAATAAATCTGAAGACACAGCAATAGAAATGATATAAAATTTAAAAAAAATAACCCAAGTATCAGAGTACTGTTAAGCAGATTAATTTAAGGACAAAAACAAAGACTCCTTCTGAGGAAGTAATTGTCAAAAATACTCCCATTTCACTGCTCCCAAATGCAGTGAAAACAACTAAGGTCACAGATCAAAATTCAACAAAGCCGTAGAAAACATAATTGGTCACTATCCAAGAGGCATTAAGGTGGATTAAAAAACACCCTGACCATCTTTTTTCTATTGAAAATATGGACTTTAGCATAACAGTAGCTGGCTGTGTGTCTCAGCAGCTGGGGGAACACAGGATGCAATCTGTGTGTCCACCCACTTGGTATGGTGCACCCAAAATACGTGCACATGTGTTGAAGTATAAATGGGTTTTACCCAGGTTATGCGCCATAAGTACATTTTGATGTATTTATAATTTTATTGTATTTTGTCTTTTTTTTTTTTCTTACAGAATTAGCCCAATTCAGTACACTGTCAAATAAAAACCCTCTTTTACAACTTGGGAGAAGGACGAAAGTAAGGCACCATGCGATTCAGCTACCGATGACTTCGATCAAAGCAAGATACAACAGAATGAAGAGTCTGATTCAGATGAGGACAAAAGCAGTATTGTAAATAAATATTTGACTAGTCAATATATTACAAAGTGATCATGTATATCTAAAGAACCCAAAATTAGAACCAAGTGAAAAGATGTTAAATTCTTTGACATGGGTGAAGCCCACTGGACAGAATGCTAACACTACAATTCAATGTTGGAAACTGTAATGAATGATGTCACAAGATGTTTTGAAATACAAGTAAAATTCAAGTAAAATATTCTCTATACATCAATAGTAGTATTCAAAAATGCATTTATCGGGGCTGGAGATTTAGCTGAGCGGCATAAGCGCCTGCCTTGTAAGCAGGCAGTCGTGAGTTCGATCCCCGCTACCAATAAAAAGGAAAAAGACCAAAAAAAAAAAAAAAATGCATTTATCATGACATCTCACACTCTGAGTTAAAAGACTTTCATTCTAATTGTGTTAATCAGAATCTAAAGGGTTTATGAAAAAGTGATGGATGTGGCAATGAATGACACTCAACAAATTTGAAATTTCAAAACTGCCTAGTCTCAGTGACAAAAAGACCCTCAACAAAAAAAGGGGAAAACCCAACAACTTGACTGCTATTTGCTCATTTTTTGAAGGCTTTGTTTTGAACTTTCAAGCAATTTATACATCATCTGAATATATGACAATTCACAAACAACTTGCATCATTTCACAGTCACTAAAGGTTTTGGTGATCTATGCCAAATACGCCTTGCAAGTACAGCATAAAAATACATGTCCTGGTAGATGTGAAGACATCTTATACCTGCAATTTGGAAATTTATCTTGAAACTCAGGTAGGCCTTTATTTGCACAGTGCTATACCATATAGCTTTGTAAACATACTTTTTGCACCTATTTCAAAAAATAAATGTCACTTTCAACAATTGGTTCACAAGCTAGGTATTAATGTTACATTGCTTTAAAAAAAAAAAAAAAAAACACTTGGCTAGTACAGGAATTATTTATAAGAACACAGTAGAGACCTGAAAAAATGTTCCAAGTTCGCAACAGAGAAATCTATCGCTACCCTTTGATACTGCCAGTATTATATGTGCTGCACACCTATAATCCCAGCACTTAGGAGGGTGAAGCAGGAAGATCCTGTGTGTTCAAGGTCAGCCTGGCCTACATAAAGAGTTCCAAGCTAGCCTGGACTATACAACGTTGAAAAAAAAGTTAATATTGATACTGTCACTGTTATACCATGATGATAAGGTAAATAGTAAAGCTGGGTGTGGTGGTAGACACCTGTAATGAGTGGGGTCTGTATGTTGAAGGTCACAGGTCAGCTAGTGCTGGACTACTCCATGAGACCCCATCTCAAAACCAAATTACAAAAAAAAAAAATACTGAATCTTAAATACATATCAAGCCAGAAATGCTCACAATTTACAACAAAATGAAAGGCAGAGCAGATAATGTTAATGAGTTATACAACAACTGCGATGTCACTTGAAACAGAAAGTAATGGCCGATGGTTGTGCTCCACTGGATCCTAAACATGTCAGGCACAGTTTCATAGTTTACAAAGACAGTAACAAGCACAGAACATCATGGAGAAGTTTTCTTAGAGAATTGGGACTGGAATTGATAAAGGGTCTATTACAACATAGGAAGAATAATATGTATCTGCCTAAAGAACTGTGCAAAAGAATTCCAGAGTAGACTGGTGAACAGACAGGAGAAACATCACAAGAACCTCTTGAGAAAACAGAACACAAGATGTCACATGTGTCCTACCAGACCAGAAAACAAAACCCTAGGGTAGGTGTCATGTGTGTCCTACTAGACAGGAAAACAAAATCCTAGGGTTAGGGTTAGGCTATCCGTGTAAAAAAGACTTGTGTACTGTTCTTGTGTGAAAACTGCCTTAGGTATGATAATTCAAGTAAAGATTATTTTTGTAGTAGTTTCATTTTTATTGTCATTGTAGTTCACATAGAAATTTTCTAGATTTAGTAAGGCAACAGTTGATGTGGAAAATGTTTACTCTTTAAACATTCATTACGTATCTTATACCTCGTGGTAAGTGCACACTGTACGTGGGCATAAAAAAACAAAAATCATTGTGACTAGTGAGGCTGAGTCTATGAAAAAAACAAGACTGGTTCAACTTACAAAAATGAGTCAATGAAATTCACTTATTAATAGACTAAAGAAAACTCACTACAGTCATCTCATATGTGAAGAAAAAAAAAATCACTCAACAAATCTTAGGACCTACTTATGATAAAAACTCAGTAAACAAAATACCTTCAACTCAATTTTAAAGGGCATTTACAAAATAGCTTTAGCTCATATTTATACTTCATAGTTCAAATCTAACCTTTTTAAGAATAAATGCTTTCTTCATAAAATGTTCATTGCAAACGTATCTGCTCTTGTGGCTTGAATTCAACTTCACAAGGTCTTGGACAATACAATATGGCAAGAAAAAGAAAAGACATCAGAACAGAAGATATAAAAATTGCCCTATCCACACTAACTACAATTACTACTAACAAAATAGCAAAAATACCACTACAATTAACACACAAACATAGGGTCACAGGATGCAAGCTCAACACTGCAATATGTCAGTCACAGGTAGAAAATGAAATTAATAATACTTGAGTATTACTAATAAAATGTGTGTAAAATTCCAAATGATAAAAGCTACAAAATACTACAGAAATCTCACACCTAATAAATAGCAACAAGTATTAGGTGGGAAGACTCAATATTTTAAGATGCCAAATCTTTCCAAACTGATCTATAATTTCAAACACATCCAAATCATAATTCCAGCAGTTTTACAGAAAGAAACTATCTGCTTTAAAAAATTTATAAGGCAAAGAAACGGAATAGCCCAAACTGTTTTTAAAAATGTATAAAGTTACACAGTTCATGCTACCTGGTTATAACATTACAGCTACAGTAATCAGAACAGAGTGCTATAGGCAAAAGGACAGAACTGGTTATAACATAAAAACAAAATCAATAAAAAAGAAAAACTGATAAACACTGCATCATAAAAATGATGACACTAACCAAGCACGGTGCCACATGTTTGTAATCCCAGCACTCTGGGAGGCTGAGGCAATAAAATCGAAAGTTCAAGGCCACCCTGCACTACCCAGTGAATTTTAGGCCAGCCTGGAATATGATGAGACGCTGTCATAAAACAAAACAATAACAACAACAACATAAACAACAACAACAACAAAAAGCAGCAAACAGGAAATGAAAAGGTAAGAATTTTAAGGCTTGATTTAAGAAAATATTTGGAAATCAGGTATCAAACTCATTTCTATCCAAAATACAAAAAAAAAAAAAAAAAACTCGTAACTCAGTAAGAACACAAAATAAATCAATTAAAAAACAGGCTAAGCTTTATTTTAAACAGGTACTTTAGCCAGACATTGTGGTACACAACTGTAATCATAACACTCTGGAGGCTGACGCAGGAAGATCATGGAGTTAAGAGGCCAGCCTGCGGTACATATCGAGGTTCAAAAATTACATACATACATACATAACACACACACACACACACACACACACGTGCGCGCACGCGCAGGCACACACATACTTTACCAGAAAAGACACATGCAGGGGCAAAGTGAAAAAAAACTGCTCAGCAAAATAAACAATAAAAATTAGCTATTAGGAAAATTAAGATCATGAAATTAAGATCATGAAATTAAGGACATGAAATATACATACTAGAATGGCTAAAATTAAAAAATAACAATAAACAAAAAACAGTAATATCAACCACTGACAACACAGAGCAACTAGAGCTCAATATTTTGCTGATAGAAATGAAAAAAATGGCACAGCTAATTTTAAAAATCAGTCTAACTTCTAACTCAAACACAACCTAACATACAATAATGTGCCAATGCCACCAACCTCAGCTATAAGAATTTAAGAGTCACTTAAAAATCCTTTAGATGGGAATCTAGACATGTTCCTCAAGCAATAGGTGGACAGATAATCTGCAGAACAACCACATAAAGGAATGCTGCTCAATGACAAGTTAAACTAACACATGCAGGAATGCAAGTGAATAGCCAATGAATTATGTTAAATAAAAGACTCTAGACTCATAAATAACTACATGTGCTATGTAAAGATGATACCCAAAGGCCAGAAAGTGCGCCTAGATGAGGCAGTGGAACTTCCCAGGGTGACAACTGTTCTACAGTGGCCACATGTCTTACATGGATTTGTCAAAACTCTCAGACGAATGTTTTATATGTAAATTATAGTTTCTCTAAAAAGTGACAAAAATGGCTGGGTGTGGTGGCGCATGCTTGTAATCCTCCCAGCATTTGGAAGGCTGAAGCAGGAAGATTGCCATGAGTTTGAGGCCATCCTGGGATACATACTGAGTTCAATGCTGTGAATTACCCAGCAAGACCCTGTGTCTTAACACACACAGACACAGAAACTAACATGCAAAGAAAATAAACACAATATAACATGAAAATATGAGATGCCCTTAAAAACAGACATCCACAGATAAATGCACAGATAAAAGGATGCACACAGGACCTGCAGATTTAGTTCAGCTGCATAAGCACCTGCCTTGCAAGCAGGCAGTCGTGAGTTCGGTCCCTGGTACCGATAAAAAGGAAAAAGACACACACAAAAAAATCAGCATGTTGATTAATGTATGTATAATAAATGCGGGAAGTCAGACAAGCAACTGTTCAGAAACTGGAATTTAGAAATCACAACTTCGAGAAAAATACATTTGAATCCAAATACCTCGCGATAAGCTACGATGCCTTTCATATTAACTGCATCGCCACTATTGTCTTTTGGAGGAAACGACTACTCTGCAAAGTGAGGTTAACTGTGGCAACCTGAATAAGAAATGACGCTGCACTGAAAATGCTTCCACCCCTCCAGCTCCGTGTCTAATAAAATTCCAGAGCACACCCACACCGCTGATAGCCCGGACGACACCCGCGTGCTTCCTGTCAAAAATCTACTGAACCACATTTGCAAGGCCTTCCCGTGCGAGTGGATCCTTCCTGGGGAAGCACAGCGACCCCAAAGCCATCAGGCCCACACACCCGGGCAGAGCTAGGACGCGCAGCATCCCTGGCCACTCTGCAGGCGGAACAAAGAGGCCGGGCCCGCGTTGCCGCAGTCCGCGGGGACGAAAATAGGGGCGGCCCTGCAGGGAAACCGGCCGGAAGCTCTGTCAGACATCGGCGGACACAAAGGAAACCACCAGAAAGGGCCCGCAGAGGGCGAGCGGCGAGTGGGCTCTCCGCAGCGCTCCGACCGCGCCTTCCCCGCCCCCACACGCCTCTCGACCCTGACGGAGCTGAAGCTAGCTGGGCGACGGGAAATACCCGGACCCCGGCGGTCCCTGCCGGGCGAAGGCCTCGCTCCCCACCGGCCACACCCAGCTTGCTCGGGTCACCTTCCTCCGCCCCGCATACCCACACTGAGGCCGAACACGGCCCCCTTACCCAGCTCGCCACGGAGCAGAGCCCCAGCACGCTCCCCATCGCGACAGCGTCCGCAGGGAGAGCGCCGACAAAATGGAGACAGCGTCTCTCTCGCTTGCAGGGATTATTTACTACCTGCGAGCCACTTCCGGCGCAGAGCCCGTCCCGCCCTCCCCCGTGCGTCACTTCCGCCGTGGGGTCGGTGGGTTGGGCTGGAGCCGGGAGACCAATATGCGTATTCTGTGGGTCGGACCGCGCCCAAGTCCGCTATGCAGGGCGGTTCCCCTTAGATAAAGGCTGCTATCCGCAGTACTCGGGTGATCCTAGTTTCCAGAACTGAAGGGATGTGGGAAGCATCCATTTTTATTTAACTCCAGTGAATTTGAACAGTGGTAGGACCGCACTGCGGTGGTGCTGGCGGATGTTTGCAGGCTCCTCTTCCTGCCTTTGCAGCCCTGCGGTCCTCCTGGGTCGCTGCGGTGCCACCTCCTCCTCCTCCTCTCTCCCTTCCGACCTCCTTCTCCTCGCTCCACTTCCTAACTCCTCCTCTTTCGCATTTCCCCACCTGCTCTTCTTACCCATTTTACTACTTTCTCCCTTTTTTTCTTTTCTTCAAACTGGTTCTGCTCTCCTGGGTCCTTTATTTTTCATAAGTATTTTAGAATCGTTGCCCAATTTGAGTGATAGTAACTCTAATAAGGTTGTTCTTATGTTAGAATGTCATAATTTTTGTTTCTTTGTGGCTTGGATTTCTCAGCAAGAATTTTATTTTTATTTTAGTTGGATGATATTTTATTATGTAAAAGTATATTTTACAAGGCAACTTAGTATTCTTGAACTAACTGTCAGAATTGTCTGGTCATTATGGGAAGCTGCAAGGAACTTTTGTTTTTCCAGTGGTTTACAATCAATTGTAGGAAGCATATTAAATAATACATTGTAAAAGTTGGAAATGAAAATTACAAACCTGATATTTTTAACTCTAGTGAACTTTTAAATACTATGTTAATTATAATATCAAGCGCTTAAAATGTGTAAGGTACCAAAGATTTATATGTAACTTTAGAGTCCTAAAGAAATTTTTTCTGGTATTTATCAGCGCTGAATACAATTTTTTAAAAATCTCTCCAGAATAGAACAGGCAGCCGTGGTGTACATAAAGCTTTTTATGTTCATTTAATCTATTCAATATGCTTTGGAATTAAATTTGTTTAAACTATTACATAAATAACAATTCGGAACTCAACAATGTATAAGTTATGGAGACTTTTATTAATTAAAAAATGATAGACAACAATTTCATTTTTCTCCTTACCAGCTATCAGAAATATTAATGATGTATTTTGTAGATATGAACCAAAAACAACTCCAAGAATGTTTTTTTGTGTATACCAGCTCTTAAATGGAAGCACAGTTTCTCCAAGTTACTTCTTATAGCACAAGAAAAATGTATAATTCCAAAATTCAAATTAGTAAAGGTAAATAAAGTAGGAGTTTTTAAAAAGCTATTTTAAAGCTGAGCATGATGGTGTAGGTCTGTGATCCCAGCACTGTGGGGGCTGAGGCAGGAGATTGCTGCCAGTTCCAAGCCAGCCTGAACTGCATAGTAAAACCCTGTCTCAAAAAAGACTAAATATATAAGTAAGCAGCTATCTTATTACTTAGTTCCTTTATGATCTGATGTGATTCTGAAATTGACCTTAGAAAGCCTCTGATGGGTGATTTAAAAAGTAGGATATTCTTTTGACCTGTCATGGGAGCTATCCCCAAAAGTTTTCACCTAACTTTGAGTGGTAATACATATTTTATTCTTCAAATTGATGTTGTTAATTACCATTTTGAAGTATCTCTAAGAATTCCTCCTCTTCTAACATTTTCTAGGGTTTAACCTTGGAAAACCTCTGTTCTTTTCTATAAAAATGTATTATTGATGTATGTATACCTGTATTTTAAGAAACAGTGATGGAGATAAGTACAGACTGCATAACATCTGACAGTCTTCCTTCTAAATAGCAGCTTTTAGCCAGAGCGCATGTGACATCAGGGAACTCAAGGCCATACTGTTTATCAGCCTTGGGGGAGGGGTGCTCTACATTGCCAATTAAAGACAAAATATAAACTTTAATGTTAAGATAAATGGAATGGGAAGATAACAGTCTTACAAAGGAATTGAACTGTAAAACCAAGAAATATGTCAAAGTAAAGATGCTCAGAAATGGGTTGAGAGAATTCTGGAGGAGCCTTAAAGACATCTGTTGGGGACTGAAGATTCCGGCTGGCTGGTTTTATATACTTCTCAAAGGGATGAACAGAGCTTTGAGATTTCTGGTATAATCCTTTTGAGATTTCCCATTACTCCATTAAGGGTGAGTTGTCTTCTCCCGCTCAGTAAGCCTAAGACCACTAAGACTAAAACTAAAGACACTCCAGGGCAAGATCCTTCTTAGCATAAGACCCCCTCTGTGCTCTGAGTCATTGGTGATTCCCTGCTCCATCGCTCAATGATGAGTTCTGGCTGTCTTGTGGCCTTTTGTTCCTTGTGGACAACTGGTCAGCCGAATCCCTACTGCACCATTTGTCACTTGCTTGTTTCTTGCTGTGCACTGAACACCTGGCAGGAAGTTGGAGGCTCACTGCAGGAGTCCCCAACAGACACATCCTGGATTCCTTCTCCCATGTGAATAAGCAAAAAATTGAAACTCCCACATCTACATTCTAATGTGGATGTGATCATTTTATCCTGAGAAAAATACAAAGTCTGATATAACAGTAGGTATAGTATACATTTGTTGAAACGTACATCAATAGACATAATTTTAGTGTTGAGTTCCTTTTAAAAAAAAAAGGTCACTAAGCTTATCCTGGTACAGTAATAGTAAAAATTTCTTTAGTGGATTCATAAAACTTAATATTTGCTAATATAATTCCCAAGATAACCTTGATACAAAATTTGCATTTATATGACTTAAGTAAGTTACCCTGAAATATAGACTGGTTTGGCTATTAGTTAAGTAATGGAAGGATATCTTCCAAAAATAACAATATTGATTTCAGAATTTACCTAGTTGGCAATAAAAAGGTATCTTCACCAAAAAGGAAAATGAAGGTCTTTAACCTTTTATTGCTTCCTGTAGCTCCTCATTCAAATCCATAAGGAAATGGTAGAATCTTGCCCATCATATTAAAAGTCTGCAACTTAATGTAGAATCAGTATCTCTCCAGCAAGGTGGCTGGATTTGGACTCACCTTGGTCCTGTCATCCATCCTGTCTTTGTACAAATCTCTGTATCAATTTTCAAATGACTGTGTTTGTGAAACAATGAGAATGGAACACATTCTGAAGAAAATGTGTCATATTTTTCAGGAAATTAGAAATTATATTGCATAGTTCTCTTGTATTGAATTCATAGACACTAAAACATCTTGGACCCTCAAATCAAAAGGACACATAAATATTTTATGACTTTTATCCTAGAAACAGTGCTAAGTATAGGCATGTTTAAATATTTAACCAAGTTTTCTGTAATAACCCAGACATTGAGACACATAACCCGTAGGGGTCAGTAGAAACTCGGCTTTGCTGATTAGAGGCATGCTTTTGCTGTGAACATGCTTCGATATTTTTGAGAAATGTAATTCAGAAGCAAAGGTATAATATCAAAAGCACAACAGCTGTTTATTTCTTCAATGTTAACATACCAACTGCAGTGAAAAACATTCCTTATAGCGAGAATTTCTTCTTTTGCTGAAAACTAAACCAGTAATTCTCTTTAACAGCCAGGTATGTTTATTCCAATGGCATACATATTACAAAATTAGGATTATTTCAGAAAGACCTTACATAAATTCAGGGAAGAAGTGAATATTTGCCATGTAAATATGTAGAACATTATTACACTATTTTGTAAGCATTGAGAAAGAAGTGACTAGCTGAAAAATTCTAATGGCATTTCTACAACACTGTGCATGTCAAAGTCAGCTAAAATATGTTTATGATTTCTTGACCTCGCATAGGTGAAGAAATATATAAAAACAAAATGGAAACATATGTTGAAGGTCTATTTAAAAGCATGCATTTAGGGCTGGGGATTTAGCTCAGCGGCATAAGCTGCCCGGCAAGCACAAGGTCATGAGTTCAATCTTTGGTACCAAAAAATAAAAAAATACACATTTATTAAAGACATAAATATACCAGTTACCCTGATCTATACATTGTACATTATATATATGTATTAAGATGTCAAAGTATAAAAAAATATATTCATCAAAATTTATTATGCTATTTATTATGTTACAAAAAGGAACCAACTACTACTCTTTTGGTATTCACTAGAGTTTTGAATTTTTAAATATTTATTTATTTATTTGTACTGGGAATTGAACTCAGGACCTTTACTTCCTAGGCAGGCACTTGTGCCGCAGAGCTACATCCCCAGTAATTTTTGAACTCCTATTGAGTGTGTTACTAAGGCATTTCCACTGGAAATTAAATGTAAGTCACATTTGTAACTTAAAATTTCCAGTAGCCATAGTCAAAGAGAACAGGTGAAATTAATTTTAACAGTGTATCACACTGTATCTAAAATATCATTTCAACCTGACAGTATAAAAGTGCTAATTACTATGCTGTTGAATACTAAGTATTTGAAATCTTATTTGGAGTATACACTTGGCAACACCTCTGGTTGGACCAGTGGTGTGGCAGAGTCTCGGTCACCCCCGGGTTAGGCAGCACCAGTGTAAATGCTGAAGGAGCGGTGAGGTGGTCACTTAGCCCATCAAGAAGCAAGCTCTTCTCTTTGCAAACATTACTCAGTTGTTCTGATTTGACAGCTGTATGTCTGCTTCAGGTGTCTAGTCTGTTTTATTTCAGTTGACTGTTCTTGCATTAAAATCAAATTACAGTTTCTAAGAAGTGTTTATATTGTGACAGGCTATCATAGTGTTTTTATATGATTTTATTGTTAAGTAATCCAGATATTCAGTTGTGCTATTTTAGCCAATTTAATCTGGTCTTTTAAAAATGCCTCTGAGTTTCTCTGCCTTAGCTTCTCCCATCCAGAATTGAATGTCACACAGGGTGACCCCAGAGGCCCTGACCTGTGTAGGAGCCTGATCTCAGGTGACCACGGGCAGTGCAGATTGGTCCTCTCCTAGCTCTGTACACCCCCTCTACTGCCTGTTG